TCGCGGGTGCCATGGACACAAACATAGACAACCACAAACTACATCCAAACTCACGAGAGAAATAAATGTAAGCCATACCCCGGAAGAACTATTTCTTCCGGCCCGGGAATCGATACCGGGACTTCGGCGTGGCAGTCCGTATGGTAAACGTTCGGCCGCGGAGTCAGTTTAACTGAAGATTTAAAACAGTAGATACGAGATGCTTGCAAAAAAATATATAAACGAGTAAAAAATTAGACATTTTTGCTGTGATGCGAAAAAAAGACAGCGTCACTACTCTCTAGACTGCGTTGTAGTCCAAACTGCATCCTGAAAACGTTTGCGGCTAAACTCGATGCGCCGATGCTTCGTCATTTCGTCCAGGTTCTGGAGATGGGGTAATCGGCGGCGCCTCGAGCGAATATAATGTGTGTTTTTATGTTTTGTCTCTGTGTTTACTAACAATAGTCATAAGTTTAAAAATGTCTGTATTTAATAACAAGTGGGCCTTGGAAGCCGAATAAATTATTTATTTATTTATTATTATTATTATAAAGTATGGAATGTCGAAAATTTTAAATACGTAATAAATAAGAAGTCCATTTTTAGTTTATATTAACTTTAATGTTACCTTCAGAGGGCGCTTGCAACAGCTGCAATTTTCCATCGACAATCTGCCCAGAAAGAACCCCGGTGAGACCGGAAACATTCATTTGCTGTCGAATCTTCTTGGCTTCAGCATCTAACTGCTGCTGAATATAGAGCTCCTTGTGGTGCACCTTGTTGTGGTACTTCAGGTGGTGCGCTTTGGTGAATTTCTTGTTGCATGGTGTACATCTAAAAATTACATGTTAATAATGTATCATATCTACAAGAACATGAACTCTTACCTATTTCTGCTGCCAAACAGTAATGTGGTTTTGAAGGGCAAGGATGCTAGTGAAATTACAGGCATATGGTACTTATTAACTTATATCTCAGGGTGAAAGATGCAGTGGCAGCGTCCATCAGCTCTTTGCGATTTAAAGTTCTGAGTGGTAATACAACTGTCATGGACAGGCGTGACGCTTACCACCAGGCAAACGACTTGTTCGTCCCTTCGCTTGGTATCATAAAAAAATAGTAATACTCACGAATATTTCTTCTCCCCGGTATGTGTCAACATGTGATTCGACAGTACGTAAGAGTACGTGAAGGACTTGCCGCATAGCGAGCATTGGTACGGGCGGATCCCCATGTGTAACCTGCGTTTTTAAAATTGCACTTTAGTTAAATGAATAATACCTGTAAGACGGGGAAATTAGTGAATATTTCAATATAGGCTTCAAAAAAAGGACAATGGCAAACTCCCTTATAACTTTTTGTTGACATAATTTGTATGCGTCTGCTTATGAAAAATATGTGAAAATGTAAGTTGAAAAAATCCTGAGCAAATTTTGTTTTGGATTTTCTATTCTGAGAAGTCGGGAATTAAAGATATTCCATTTTGAAGTTTTGGAGATTATGTGTTACGTAATTGAATAAAATATATTCCGTGTATTATATCAAAATAAACTACAGAAGCCTTTAAATAGAGTTAATAGAAAGAAGCTGAATGATGCTGTGGGTTTGTGGCGTGACGAAAGTTCAGAGGAAATTATTTTGTATACTCTTATAGTCAAAAGGTATGAAGTTAAATTAATAACATACCACAGACTATTGCACTGGTAACTCGGACACAAATAATATTTTTGTGAAACGTGCCATCTATACCTGCTTTTTGGAAACTATTCTGTCAGTTTTACCATTTTCTCGCGTGGTACTTTGGAGAAGAAATTATCGACTTTATTTTTTATAATGAAGTAGTTAATCTTTTATTAGCTTATTACAAATCGGTGGAATCAATACATTTGATATTACGTGAACTAAATGTACACCATATCCATACGTAGGTACTAATATTCCTTTTTTGGCGGTTAGATGTCGCAGAAACTAAGAAACTGATAGTTGTAAATATCAGTCCGGTTACATACTAATTAGTTTCTTTTAGATATGATTTTATATCCAGACTTAGTAAGCTGCTGGGGTGCTAGGCGACGTACCTCCACGTGAGCGTGTGGCTTCCATTCCTATGCAATCCCAGGATTGTATAGGAAGGGAAGACATGGGCCGGTGCATCCTGGCCAATTCCTGGACTTTGTCCGGGCATTTGAATAGAATAGAATAGAATAGAATAGAATAGACATTTATTGCAATTTGCTAGGTGTTGGCTAAAATGTCGTCTCCCAATCCAACGGTGTTAGGCGTACCGTGCCTATGGATGCGTGACTGGGGGGGAGCCCAGACGCTAACGGTGCACCCTCGATACCAGGGCACCTCGAGGGAACCTTATGCCCTTCAGCCGGCAAGCGGGGTTCTGCCGGTTGTGACCCCTTAATTCCCTAGCTTCTCTTGAGACGTGTATAGAGAAAGACAATGACATAAGCGTTAACACCTTAATTTCCTTCTCGGAGGAAACGATTGCTGGGGTGGGTAGTCCACCCAGCAATAGAGACGTGACTTCGGTTGCGGCTATAGATACGAACCAAGCGGGTCCTTCGGATCCCACCATGGTGTCGGAATCCAGCGCTCAGCCGCGCATTCGACTGAGCGGCTCTCGCCGAAGAGACTAAAGGACCTGATGAGAACAGGTATGAGCTACGCAGAAGCGCTGCCTCTATCTGAAAAGCACTGGAGTGAACTTCCGGTGCCTAAACCATCTCCAACACCGAAAGCGCAAAAGCGTGGACGGTCAGAAGCGGCGTCGCTACAGGAACACGTAAGGAAGGCTCCCTGGACCATGGCGTCAGCTGAAAGCAGGAACAGACAAACTTTCAGCGAAATAGCGGGCTTCCTGCGCGTGGGTATCCGGAATTCGGAACCCATGCCAGAGGAGCAAATGGAGCTGTTTCTGGTCCGCACCATAGGTTCCTGGGTCTCTCTCACAAGACAGGCTGGATTCTTGTGAGCTGCAAGGACCAAGCAAGTGCAGACTGGCTTGTGGAAAAGATCGGCTATTTGAAGCCGTGGCCGGAAGCCCAGCTGTCCTTGATTAAGAAAAGCGAGCTTCCGAAGCCCACCACCGCCACCACTTACATTCCCAAGAAGGGTTGTGAGTCGGTGCAGTTGGCCATCAGCCTACAGGGGGCCCAAAATAGGGGTCTCCGCACGGAAGTATGGAAGATTCTTCACGCAAGGAAAGATGCGAACGGATGGGTAGCCGCGTTTACTCTTGATGACCCATCTGTGGAGAATCTCCGTGCCTCAAATTACCGGGCACACCTTGGTTTTAAACAGGTCATGTTTAAGATCAAAGGGTGTCCGTAAAGCACTTCCAGGGGTGCGTTTAAGACCAAGGCAAAAAATTCGCCAGCTAAAAATTAATCTGCCGAGGCATCCGTGAACGGAGTCTTAGGTTTATGTCAATGTAAGCTGCCAAATTCAAATGACAGCTGTCATAAGTACCTAATTCAAACTTTATTATACTAGCAGAAACAACAAACAGCTGTCAATAGTGTCAATCTGACAGCAGGTTAAAATTTCGCGACCTAAAAAGCACGCGAAAATTTATCCCAACTAGGCTAAATTTTATCCTAGCCGACGTCCGTGAACGGGGTAGATAAAATTTTCACAGATAAAATTTTCGCCTGACAGAGTGCTTAAACGGGGTGTATAACGTTATGTCAGGTTAAAATTTATCCCGGCTAGCGTCCTTAAACGCACCCCAGCGGCGGCACTGCGCAGGGTGCCTCGGACTCGAAACCAGGGTCGGTTACTAGTCCGCTCGAGGATTCCGCCCGCGCCTAGTCCGTCTTCTATGGACCAGGGAAAACGTGACGGGGCTGCCCCGTCTGCGACTCTGGGTGTATCGCCCCAGAAGAATCGCGGACGGGAGGCGGGGCACACTCGGACAGCACCCGCTGTCCAAACAGCGCAGCCAACAACAAGTGCCAGTACTGGGGCCGCTCGACCAAAAACTGCCACAGTAATGCACTAAATGACGGTCTGGAGGTACAATACCGTGGTTTTAGCACCGAACCCACGTGGCCGGAGTACGGCACGTGGAAGAATGCAAGGGCGCGGAGCTGCCAATTCGCGAGGCTCACGAGGACCGTTTCGTCCTCCTCGTAGCAGTCGGGGGCAGCAACGCGGCTGGGGTTTTAATCCCCGCTAGATGGCGCCCACGGGGGAAAGGGCGAGGGTTCTCCCAGCAAACCTCCACCACGCCGTGGTTGCCGCGGCTTTGGTGGAGTGTTGCTTCGCGAAAGGCAATGTGCATGTCGCCCTCATTCAGGAACCCTGGGTTAACCACACAAACATAATGGGACTCAATGCCGCTGGTAAGATGATCTACAACGCTTGTGGAAGTAGACCCAGAGCCTGCATTGTTTATAACAAAAACATTAACCTTATGCCTGTTCCAGAGTTCTGTACTGACGACTTTGTAGAAGCATAATTATTTCCCCGGAATAACCCTCGGGCTAAGATAATCATGTTCATTAAGCCCAGCCTATCTGGACAAAAGAACAGCCCCACGGAAGATCTGCACGACTGGCGGAATAAGCTCAAAAACACAAAGCAGAACCTCTGTTGGGATGTGATGCCAACGCTCACCACACCGCTTGGGGGAGCTCTGACATCAATAACAGAGGTGAGTTACTATATGGCTTTATATACATTACATATTACATACATTTAGGAATCTAAGGAACGCGGCCTGAGACGTCTATAGAGACAGACTAGCGCAGTATCTACAAAGGTGTCCTCAATCGATCAAAACCACTGAGAGACTAAGAGTAAGCTGTTGAGGTCACTACCAGGGGCATCATCAGCGCTTTTGAAGAAGGCTACGCACTAAAAATTTGGACCTCCAATAGGAAGGTTCCGTGGTGGAATGCCAAACTGACAAAGCTAAGAGAGAAAACTCGAAGACTCTTCATTAGGGCCAAGCTGACAAAGGAATGGGAGATTTACAGGAAGGCCCTTACCAATTATAATAAGGAGATAAGGAAGGCTAAGCGAGCATCGTGGAGGTGATTTTGTGAGGAGATCACTAATGCTCCTCAAGGTGTACGTCTACACAGAGTACTTTCCAAAGCCAACTCCCATCAACTAGTACTGTTAAAAAAGCCTGATGGGACCTACTAGACTTCTACGACAGAAACCCTTGAGATTCTAATGTCAACCCATTTTCCGGGGGCGACTCGCTTACTAACCCAGTAATTACTGTATTAAATTACTGTACATACACCTCGCAACGAGGACTGGAACAGAGCCGCCAACATTATAAGACCTCGACAAGTGGCTTGGGCCATTAGCTCGTTTAAATCGTACAAACCCCAAGTGAGGACAATATTACTACCATCTTACTGCAGCAAGGTATAATTATACATATAAAAAAAAAATAGGTTACACCTATTTTGTTTTAGAATCATTTAAAGTAATGCTGTAGAAAAAAAATTTGGCATACACCACTTTTACGTCTCCTCAGTCAGCCTCATTTATTCGGGAGCAATCACAAACTTTTTTCAAAATTTGCGGTACCTGTAGTGGAAATAATAATAAAAATAAACAAAATTCGACATACGCAGCATTGCCAAGTTCACAATAAAGCTCACCTCTCATGTTTCTGACGTGTGCCGTAATCGCCGAAACGCCGATCGCAAATACGACACTTATACGGCCGTTCTCCGGTGTGCCGTAACATGTGCCGTTTCAGTTCTTCGTTCATCACACAGGAATATCCGCACACGCTAAAGTGATATAGGATGTCAAGCAGGAACAAGGGTCGAAAGTGTGATGAACAATGTAAGAAAGAACTGCCTGCCTGTGTTTTGCGGGTGAAATGTTACACACAAAAAGAAAACGGTAATGACGTCCCGTGCATAGGTCGGTCTACCCTTGTCCCTACGAGAGGATATCTAATCTAGAACTCACGTTTTTCACGAAGAGACGAAAGGCTCAGACGCACGGAAAACGTTAGTAGAAGGATTCGTTCTTTAATCACGTGAAATACTGCACGTGTTCTATTGCAAGCACGGTCCACCATAGGGGTTAATTTACCTTGTCGCGGAACTGAATAAAAGCTAATTTGAAATGAAATGATATGAAATGAGCGCGGCGCGGTTTGTATGTGTGCGCACCTGCTGTGCGCCGTGTACAGACGCACACGTTCGCACATTCCCATGTATTGTGTTATGCACCTGCGTTACATAATACTGGTCGTCCCAACGAGCCTTTCATTATTATTCGAATGTGTGCATCCGTACACGGCGCGCGGGATTTGCGCACACATACAAGCCGCGCTGTTACTGTATTCGCTTCAGGAATACATACATAATTAATTAGTATTTTATCTGTTCCAATTGTTATCCTTTTTTTTTCAATTTTATTTAATGTTTATTCTTGGAGATTTAATCAATCTTCAATTAAATTTCATTAAAATTTTAACATTTACTTAATATATTTAATTTGCCTAATTTTATTGTATTCAATTATTTTGTAATTTATTTCTAATTGTAATTTAATACAGATCAATTTTATTTTTGCTAGTAAATAAATTAATTTAATTTTTAGAATTGCAGCGCCCTTGCAGGGTACACGTTTGGTTCATGACAACTTTCTAACAACTACATTGGTACAACATGATACGCAGTAAAGAAATTTATCTGATTTTATGTGATTTGATCACTTTGTACGGAGTTACCATACTTCTCTTATTGTGTTACTATGGCATAATGAATTTTACGTCAATTGTGTAACGTACAAACTTGATACGAGATGGTAGCTCCGGGATTTTTTCCGGAAAACATGCAACTTGCTATTCGGCTCGTATCTAGTCCGTACGTTAACGTTACACAATGGATATGATGATGAGGCTTAAATTACAAAAAGCCGCTTCCATTCCGTTCTGCGGCAAAGTAAATTGAGCCATAGTGTGCGTGGTTCATTTTATAAAAATGCGTAGATATCCAGTAAATAAGCCTGTTTACGAAAGGCTCGTGAGCTGCACACGTGCATTACGTAGTTCGATCTGTTCGCGCGCCACATATGCTTACATGCTTGCAGAGGCGCATTTAACTGCACGCATACAGCACACGCAGCGCATTCGCCAGGTCTGTATGCACCCTAAGAATCTTCAAAAAATTTTAATTTCTCAACGTATACTCGTATCAAAGCAGTGTTTTCCGCCGCGTCTTTTGCCATGTATGCCTTCTGGACTATACAGCGCTTACAGCCTAACCTTTCGTGCTTCTGGCGTGTGCCGAAGTCGCCGAAGCGGCGCTCGCACTGGCGGCACTTGTACGGCCGCTCGCCTGTGTGTGTCAACATGTGCCGGCTGAGCGCCGTTCGAGTCACTCCCGAGAAGCCGCAAACGCTGCCACATTCATTTGAATTTAGGGGTACTTTTCGGTTCTACGACAATGGCACTGTCGCAAAACTAAGATCATGGTGGTTAACACGTTATTGCTTATCAGCATCCAATTATAACAAACTGGTTCAGTAATTTCACAAAACTAATTGTATATCATGGTAGTAAAATATAGTAGTACAAATGGTTCATTTCCATTGTGTAATCGCGAAAACCGAGACAGAGAGCCTAATCTGCGTAGCAGCGCACAAATACCTATTCTCAGACAGGGGTAGACAACATAACGCACCGAGGTGGGTAATTTTTTTAACAAACCTCGATAGGATGGATATACTATGTTACTACAAGTTACAGGCAAACAATCTTTCTTACAACAAATGAAAACACGTAATATAATTTGAATATCTGATGGTGTCATCAACAATATTGACAATATTTTTATGTACAAGTACGAAAAACAAAGTAAGGTAGAAAAAAAAACAATCTACTAAAGTATTGTAAGCGCGTTTTGCGCACTACATCCAATTCGTATTCGTTCCGAATGCGAGTCTATTCTATACAAATCAAGAAAACTCGGACCCACTTTGGATGTTGCTTGTGCACTAAGTCCTATTCAAGTCCGAGAAAATACTAATATCGTTTGTACACCTAGAGATAAAATGATCCCTGTGACATTTCGGACCGTCATTTCTCGGATTCGGAACTGATACGAATCGGACGTAGTGCGTTAACGCTAGACGTATTTTAAAAGCGTATGTTTAAATCATAAAAAAATTTAGAGGACCACCTCAGTATATTTTCAAATTAAAAATAATAATGAATTGGAACATATTAGCTCGTTATGGAATGTCCATTCATCCATCTAAGCCTTTATTTTGTTTGTCAGATAAAGATATTAATATTAAAATAAGTTTTTACATAATTGTCTTCAAACATAAGCCTCATCCTTATTTGCCTCTCTCTCTACTTCTTAAAATTATCCTTCCAAGTGACCTTAATACTGACGCACAAAAGCTATTGGCAGCCCGATAATCAATGATCAAAGTACGTTGAGCCGACGATAATAATAATCAAAGTTTGCCGACTTGGCCGATAATAATAAATGTCGAGTTAGTCGACAATGAAAAGCTTGTCGATTTGCTGGATAGTGAATAATCAAAAGTTATCGAGCTGGCCGATAATGAATAACCAAAGTTTGTCGAGTTAGTCGACAATGAAAAATCAAAGCTTGTCGATTTGCCAGATAATGAATAATCAAAGTTTATCGAGCTGGCCGATAATGAATAATCAAAGTCTGTTGAGTTGGTCGATATTGAATAAACAATATTTGTCGAGTAAACAGACAGACATTTAATAACATATTTTTGGTGGCTAGCTTAATTTACCTGCATACAAATGGCTTGATACCCAAGTGCCGCCGTATATGAGCCTGTAGGGACGCATTGGATGTGAACGACGCTCCGCACGTCTCGCATGTATGCCTGTGTAGGTTACATATACTACAATGAAAACGGTATTGGAGGCGGACGACAAAAACAATTCAAGTGTTTGTTGTCAAACGACATTTACAATTCACTTACCTTTACAGGGTTATTTATAAAATATTAACCATCTTGCAGGTCTGTATTACTTACATCATAAACAACAAGTTTTGTTCCATGATTTTTAATAATTTATCCGATTTTACTTTCGTACAAAAATAAAGATATTTAAAAAGATCGCTTAAAATGGTAGTAACTTTTAAATAAGGCCGTTATAAGGCACGCGGCCGGAAGGAGTCGCTAAACCACTAACTACGAAAAACAGATCTAAAAAGTGTTGGATAGTATAACATAAACTTTAAAGTTTAGTTTTGGTAAATTTATGATATTTTGTAAATAGTCATAAACAAAAGTTGTTGTTTGTTGTTTATGATGTTAGTAATACAGTCCTACGAAGTGTAGTATTTTACAAACAACCCTGTTTACTTCGACGGCTTTCTACAATAGTGGCTTATCTCAAAAGCAACCAATTCATCAGAGAGATGGCTTAAAAAAGCACAAAATTGACCAATCGTAGACCATCCCCAAGGTAATCATGCGATTATTCTAACCAATGAAAAGCTTAGAATCCCAATCATAATAAAACTTTACTAATAAATATTAGTAGTAAGTAAAAAAGGGGCCATTTTTGACCGAGCTGAGTTCTTGAAAAGCAACGATATGTCAGAATATAAGGGAAACGTTGCGGGGAACATCCTCGTCACTGATTTAGTTAGGAATCATTTGACAATTAGACTATTCACTCTTCGTTATCTATTCATTCAGTCGGCAATGAAATAATGGCCTGAGCTCTGCTGTTTTTTGCTACGAAATGTATTTAATTTAATGTGTTTAAACGTAATGGAGACGGTCTTTAACGAACTTACAACATAAAACTCACGTTTTTTCGTAATTATACTTCTTTTTGTTATACTGCTGTTTTTTCTTCTTCGGCTTTGGGTTAAGTAGGTGGTCTGGAATTGGTTCGGAGAAAGCCATAATGGTCTCCTTAAGGAGAACGTCCTCGCCATCGTCTGGTTCCTGCTTTTCTAGGGCTGGAGGACGACCGCGTTTTCTGACTGGCTATATAAATTAACAAAAATTTAATACTATAAAATATTACACCTTAATATTATATTTAACATTAGAAACACATAGATAAATTCGTAATCAACTGATTCAACCTGTAGCTCAGCCGGTAGAGCGGTGACCCTACTTCGGCATTCTGTATGTCGATCTAGGGTGCCCGCTCTACCGCAGGTTTGAGTCCTGTCAGATCGAAGGAATTTTTCCTTCCGATCTTTGTATTAATAATAAAAGTATATGAATATCATGGTTGTAAAACATCATGAATTACAGTATGTCAGTTGCCAGATGTCATAAAAAAATTAAATAGTTATGTAGTTGTTGTCGATAGTTTTATCTGTAAATTGTGAAAAAAGATTAAATATAGCCAAAAATGAGTGAATTCTGAATGTTACAACGTTCTAATGATAATTGCGTTATTGCCTTCTTTATTCTTATTTTAACAGTTGGCCTACTATAGTCTGTTTCAATCCATTTTAAATTAAACTTAAACCATTTACCATTTTAAATTTTAAAGTAAACAAACCTGTTTGGTTAAAATTCTAAAGCAATCACTCAATAAATCGGATAAAAAACATTTTCTCGTATATTTCGAAGTTTTCGACTATATATATTATCACTTTTTCAAACAATATTCATTTGAATAGCATCGTAAAATCGTATTTGAAAAATGGTAATCCAAAAGTGAAGATTTTTCATCTATACTTCTATGACTTGCCTATGGTTGCATAGTGTTGTTCGAAAAAAAACATTCCGTTCAATCAAACCTCCGTCAAATCCTTACACTTAGATACTCGTTCGATTGCGATTGAAATGTTCGATTTAATAATCGATTACTAAACTTTAATTCAGGGGTTCCCAAACTTATTTTCCCTTATTTCCCATTTTTTCACCTACTTAAAAACCACTATAACTTCAAATTCAATTAATTATTGTGAGCTATATTAGCGGAGATTAAACATTCATTCTAAACGAGACTTTTACTATAGCCCGCAAGAATTAACTTGAGACCTGAGCGCAGTAGGTAGTACAGAACGGTGCTCAGGTCTCAAGTTAACTCTTACGGGCTACACCTACCAATGAGAATGATGATAATAATGAACTTGTTGCGCAATTCTATATTTTTATTTTCCAAGAACTCTATCACAGAGTCAAACAGGTTGTAAAATCGAGTCAGACAATTGCCTCTTGATAGCCAACGTACTTCAGTATGAAACAATAAACGTTTGAAATCTTCGTCATTAGTAACACAAAGCTGATGAAATAATCAATTATTCGAAGAGCTGTTACGGATTTTATTGACTGCTTTGATGTCATATTGCAGTGATTGAAATAGTCGTTCATTTAAATTTCTAGCAACCAAATATTGTCTATGAATAACGCAATATACAGCAAGGACATCTGCAATTTTATTTTTTAAGTAGGTACGCTATGTAGCCTTTATGGCACCCTGTCATAGCCGGAGCGCCATCCGTAGCAACTGATATAATATTTTTCAAGGTAATCTCTTTCTCATCACAAAACTTTTCCAATGTATTGAATATGATTTCGCCTTTTGTATCGGTCTCTAAATTTCTAGCAAACAATAGTTCTTCACATATTTTCTCATCTTTAATAAACCTCACAAGAGCTGAATTGAGAATTGACTAGTCCTCAGATGATTGCACAATGATTCTTCAATGTTTTTAGCCATTTGATCAATTTCGTCGTATGTAGCACAGTAGTTATGACTTCCTTTATTGCTGGCAAAATTAACTCTTCTTCGATGTTGTGCGGTTTGCCTTTTTGAGCAATTAACAAAGAGATATTTATTGTACGAAGCTCGAAGTCCGTCGTCATCTTGCTTAGCAACCGCCGAAATGAGTTTTGTTACACTTGACTGAGTAATATGCCTCTTCTCTAGGTCTTGAAAATATGCTACATTCTTGTCTTTCTTATCTGGATGCACTTTATTCAAATGACCTTGCAGTCTTGAAGGCTTCATTGATTCATTCGAAAATAATTTTAGACATAGAAGGCACAAAGGCGACGATGGGTTTGTGGGATTTTCAATGAATCCGAATTTAATATATTCCGCACAGTATTGCCGTCTCTTCTTTTTTACTTCCGACATTGTTTTGTTTTGAGAAATACGTAAGTAAGTGTTGAACTTAAGTACTGCTTATCTAATACGCGCGAAACCGCAAATGAAAAGAAATGTTACGTTGTTTATATAGGATTACATAAGCAGCACGCACCGACAGGAATAAGACAAACATGCATAAACTCGTTTATTTCATTCGACGCTCAATCGTATTACTCAACAAGTAAGAACAAGTATTCTATGAACCAGCCGATTGATACAGGAATGCACAAATCGGGTTATTCAACGAAAACTTGTTAAAGCATGATTGCCCGTGGTCTATTATCTGCGAAAATTACCTATCTAATAACTATTAAAATGCGAAACTGTGTCTGTTGCCGTTTTATTTGTTTGTTTGTGTCTACTTTCATTTCGAAACGGAGCGACCGATAGACATGATTTTTATTTTATTTATTCAATAAAACAGGACAGACATATGAACCACACGGAGAGAAATATCGAACCGAGTTAGTTTGAGCAATCTCTTAATTAATATTAAGCCTCTACACAACGCCCCCATTTTTTTTTCTGGGTCTCTTACCGCCCCCCTTTAGGCCTGCAGCGTCCACAAGGGGGCGTTATCTTCACCCACTTTGGGAACGGCTGCTTTAATTGATTGAACCGAATGTTTTTTTTCGAACAGCACTATGCAACCATAAGCAAGTCATAGAAATATAGACGAATAATAACCTCACTTTTGGGGTTACCTATCACAAGCTGGAAACATGATTAACAGAATTTTGTTTCTCCGAAAACCTTTGCATTTTTAATAAAAGGTTTTGTTTCATTTGTCCGAAAACACGTTACGGTTTTTTCCATTACACCATTTAGGGTCGTATTCCAGAACTCTACTCAATGCTCAAGTCAGGATTTGAGCAGACTTGATTATGATTTCAAGCACTAGAAATACGACTCTAATAGCAAGGACTTGAGTATGATTTATAGTGCTTTGAATCATACTCAAGTCCTGACTTGAGCATTGAGTAGAGTTCTAGAATACGATCCTTAATGTTTCAGTATTTTGATGTTATTCTTTTCCCGAATTTTATTGACCAATGCATCTAATTGAATATTTTTATTTTGTAAAAAACGATATCCATGATACATTTATATTATATTATTTCTTATTACAGATATTAAAAGTATTAGAACGTATCGCAAAATACAACTCGTCAAATTAAAGCACCGCGCATCTTTAGAAAATATGGTAAACGAGATGCAAGTTAATTTGATCGAGTTGTAGTCGCTCGTTCGGATGGTGCTGCTTTTTCATATACTAACCTAAACCTACAGGAGGGGGTCGTACTGTCTAGGTAATGCAAACAAATTCGGCTCTGGCACTCGCCGGCCGCTGCCACGGCACACTCGCTACGCTCGCTCAGCTCGTACGGCTTTTTCATATAATAACCTAACCTAAACATACAGGAGGGACTGGTACCGCCTAGGTAATGCAAACAAATTCGGCTTTGGCACTCGCCGGCAGCTGCCGCGACACGCTCGCTACGCTCGCTCGGCTCGTGCGGCTTTTTCATATACTAGCCTAACTTAAACCCACACGAGGGGGTCGTACCGTCTGGGTAATGCACAGGAGGGGTTGGTACCGCCTAGGTACCCACCCCACCACACAGGTAAATCCAAAACATTGCTTTTAAATTACATTTCAGATGACAGCAAAAACATAGCACAATGGTATGACGAAAATTACGTAAGTGAACTTGCTGTGCACCAGCAAAGTACAGTCCAAAATTTTGGAACTGTACGGTAAAATTGTACGGCGATACAATTTTATCTTAAATGGCGGTACAATTTTATCTAAGAATAATAATTATGTCAAAACGAATTTTCAGCAATCTAAATTATATGGAAAACTAGACTTAGACTAAACAAACTTCTGCTCAAAGAATACGGATGTGTAATAATTATTCTAATAATAGGTTTTCGGACAAATGATACGACTGCTGTAAGACATTTCTGTGTTGCAAATTTATATAAAAGTTGTCATCGCACTAATGAAAAAACTGCCATGGGTCTCCCCAAAACCCATAAACAGTCTGGACTCCACGGGGACTTAGCACAATCACCACACTTGCAAGGTGGATAGGTCATCGCAGTATGTTAGTTGAGAAGACATCCATGGAAATATATGGGGTGGTATTTATACTAGGCCAACACCACACGGCCATAAGAAGTTAAATATATAAATGTAATCTCAAACAACAATTTTCCTCAGCAATAAAAATAAAGACTATCTATCACGTAATGGTTAGTGTTTCTTGTGCATAATCTGACATACTTATAAAATCGATACATTATACTCTTATACATATACTCTTACTCATTATACATTATACTTAACTTTTCTAACGACGACGTTAGATGTAACTTTTTTACTTTACCGATTGTTTAAATAAATCATTATACAGTAATAATTATACATACAAATATCGATAGACAATATGATTTTTTTCAGTGCAACACTAGCAACGCGTGCCCAATGAATAGAATGAGATGACGTAATGGGAGTTGCATTAGGTGGAAGCAAGACGCATAAATGATTTGAAACAATTGATGGGTGTTGTCAACTGTTTCACTGCAAATTCGCAAGTTTAACTTGAGCTATGCTATAATAGACGAATTTTGAAAAATTACATATTTAATATTTAATTACCGATGAAATGTGATTCCGTTTGTTTTATAATCAGATGTTTTGCTGTTTTTCCACACCACTGAATAGAACAGCACGGCATTGTTAGAAATATTAACTTTATTACAATAAATACAGAATATTTTTTGGAATATACGGAGACGTACACACAGGTCAGTTGTTGGCCTGTGTATATTTCAGTGAAAACGAGTATTGATATTTATAAGAGCTGTATCGCTAATGTGTTACCTACCAGGAATTTATGGCCCTTATTTCGTCTCTATTTCTGGTCACGTACTCGATGTTTGACACTAAATTAAATTTTAATAAATACTCACTCTTTTCTTTTCTTTTGGTTCCTCTTGCTCTTCTGGAATAAAATCAGGATCATCGTCTGGGAAATCTGTAAAAATAATTAATTTAAAACACTGTTTACATAACACTGATCCTCTTGGCTTTTTGGGATCGGCACATCTATCTTATTTAAGGGCCGGTTCAGAGTCTTGGATTTGTGATGCGTAACTCCAGAGATTTCCATCAGGCTAAGACACTAAAAATTTTATATTGCTCACTTGTACGCAGCCACCTTGAATACGCATCGCAGGTGTGGAGCCCGCAGTATCTTACATATATATCACGACTTGAAAACGTGCAAAAGAGATTCATTAAGTATTTATGTTATCGAACAAGGGAGAGGTATGATTCAAGCCGGTATCTTGAAATATGTAGGAAACATCATCTCTTGCCACTAGAGAAGCGACGCCAGATTGCAGACTTAGTATTTTTAAGAAAAATTGCTTCTGGTGCAGTAGACTCCCCAGAACTTGTGTCCAAGATCTTCTTTAGAGCCCACACAAAGACCCTTAGGTTTAATTCGCCTTTACATATACCTTCGGCCTCCTCGAACTATCGGCGAAATGCATATCTCTTGCGTGCTGGTAACAGCTTTAACCAACTATCCAGACAGGTTGATATTGACCTGTTTAACACTAGTGTTGCATCGGTGAAGCGTCTAATGAGTAATTTGTTTTTTGATAGGAAAGTGAATTTGTAAGTGTTGTATATTTACCCATAGTTCGTAATGCGTCATAATAGTTTAGTTGTAATTTAACGCTCAATAATTTCAAATCAAAATGTATCTATCGGCGAGGACCTATAATTGGCTCACCATTATTATTTAAGTTTTTTATTCTATAAGATAGCCGTTGGTCTTCCAATAAATAAAATAAATAAATAGATGGCAAACATAATAAGCCTGCGTTTTGCTAACGAGCGCTTTATACGTGAGGCGCACTATAAGTTTCCGGAATGAATAAGAAAAAATACTATAAATGGTCAGAAATGAATTTATTGTTTCTCAAAATATTCTCCGTTAGCGTTAATGCACTTTTTCACACGAATGAACCAATTTTGAAAACATTTATGCCACTCCTCCGTGACAATCTCTGAAACATATTTTTCATACTCTTCGACAGCCTCCTCAAGTGATGAAAATCGTTGACCGCGTAACTGGTTCTTAATTTTTGGAAATAAATAAAGTCACAAGGTGCCAGATCGGGACTGTACGCGGGATAGCTCGTAAGGTCAACGTTGTTCACCTTCAAAAATTCATTTGTCTGTCTAGCCGTGTGAGAACTGGCATTATCGTGGTGCAAGATGATACGGCATTTACGGTTTTTACGGAATTTGTCAATAACTTCCAGGAAACAGATGATCAAGTACCAATCACTATTCACGGTACGATTCTCCAAAGCAACAGTAGCCACGTGTCCAGTTTTATTAGAAAAAGAATCATCCGCTTAGAGGCACTTTGCACGCGCGCCACTTTGGTTAGTTTCGGCTCACCTTGAAAGACCCATACGATCCGTTTTTTGAGCCTCAGTCAAATTGTGTGGGATCCACTGAGAGCACAGCTTTTTCACACTCAAATGTTTGTGTAGTATTGATTATATTTGACTCATGTCTATGCCTAAAGATGCCCGAATCTCATGGTATGTCACATGCCTGTCAATTTTGATCATACGGCGCACAGCATCGATGTTTTTGTTGTTCACAGCAGTGGACGGGCGACCATCACAAAATTCGTCACTGAGATTCACACGACCGCGTTTGAATTCTGCAAACCAGCTATAAATAGTAGTAGTCGTCTTGTGTGGTGCTTGCAGTTTGAAGCCAAGCGAAGCTCCGCTGAGCTGTTAAATTATACTTAAAGTCGTAGAAAATCATACTACGAAAATGTTCACAAGTATACAGTGATGTAGACAATCAATTTCTAAAATGACGCCACAATGTAAAAACAAGGGACAGTCAGATGAAAGAAACTGTATTTTACGGCCAAAGAGTTCTATTTTCAAATGTTGTAATTACTTTTTAAATATCGTTTATATGAGTGGCCAGTTCCGGAAACGTATAGTGCGCCCTATGTACATATATCATATTTATTATTACAATATTGTTCAACGTAAGTGGCAAACTACACGTTCCTTGGAGAAAACTTCGCAATAAGTTTAGCCCCGGCCTCAAGTTAACTTCCGCGGGTAAATCTTGTCATTGGACATTAGTAGCACTATAGTATGAAATCGAGTAAATAACTCACCACCCCCACCGCCCAGTTCGTCTTCTTCATCCCCATCCGGTTCCTCTTTTTCTAGTTTGAGCTCTAGACTGCCAGATGCCAGCAGTGACGCTAGGGATTCCTCTTCCTTTTGAGACTTTGGCTTTTTTCGCTGGTATGGAGAGACATCTAGAAAATAAGAATCAGTTTGAAAAGGGTTTCTTTGACTTCTGATTGTCATTTACAGTCTAGTGATATATTGGCAGAAACGCCAATGAAATCTCGATATGGGTACATTGTCTTGGATAATTGATAACGATTTTGAGCTTATAGCTTAACTGTTGAGTAATGTTGATCAAAAAGCAGCAATTTTCATCAATTCAAACCAATGAATAATTACTACGTAACACCTGGTACACCATTGTGGAATGCAATTAAAAAATATTGAATATTAAACAAAAATCTTGCTTTTTTTTTAATTTACATCTGTGTTGCCAGATGGAATGAATGACATTTCTTACATTTTTCGTAAAATTTGACTCTCGTATGTAATATGTAATTTTTATTTTTCGTAATTTTCGTAACTTTTGGGGATGTTTAGATTTTTTAAATCCAACTATATTTGTTATTGTATATCTTATATACATACGTACGAACGTATCCAAATTGGACAAAGTAATATAAGTGTGGCGCAAACGAAATTGAATCAATCAATTACTGGATATAGCTTATCGAGTTCTTAGGTTTTCGCGATTGTTACACATAGGAAATGAAACTATTTTTCCGGATTTAAATCGGGTAAGGGCCCGAAACGTCGGTTTGTTTGAAAAAACAAATACACGCGATTTAAAACCTGAAAAATAGTTTCATTTCCTATGGTTATAGCTTGTTTTTGAGCATATTTACTCCCTTATTTTTAGGATTTTATGTAGAATTTGTAATTAAAAAAACGAACTTGTAAAATGTAACTTTTTAGGTAACAAAATGTAATTTTCGACTCAAGGGCACTGGCAACACTGATTTAAAAGTACTTTAAGAAACTTTAATGGTCATATCATTGACTTACAATTATATGGACGTCGGGTCCGCGCTAAAAAGTGTCCGAACTTATAGGGCGTTAAAATCGTATACAGAGCGTCATTCACGCTTTAGTCTTCGTTTGTTCGACTGACAGCGAAGCAAGCAAAATTAGACAGTACTGCGATGACAGTACAATTTAAATTCAACGTTTTAGCTTTTTCATATTCCTTTACATGTCACTACGTTTAAATAGGTTGACTTGGGACATTTTTTTCGTGATTTGTGTATTAGACCCATCATCCATTTATTTGTAAGTCAATGGGTCATATCCCAAAAGTTGAGTGTTTTCATTCTGTGAAGGTATTGGCTTCAAAGTGCAATATGTTCACTTACCTATTTGTCCATGTGCATTTGGATACTTCCTAGGGCGTCCTCGTTTTCTTGGCCCTGGTGCTTTTGTGACCACAGTACTGACAGGGCTTTTAGGTAAGGATTTGGACCATTGCACTTGAGGATCATGCTCTACTGGTACTTCATATTGAAGGAGTAATCCATTTTCTTGCTTTATTGTTATTGTTTCTGTCTCGGTAACTAAAATTGATAACAATAAAACATCATTAGCAATTTGAAGCCGTGGTAGCCTAATGGTTTGACCTACTGCCTCTCAAGCAGAGGGTCGTGGGTTCGAATCCGGGCTCGCCCCTGTGATTTTATCAGAATTTATATGCGAAATTTAATTTGAAATATTATCAATGAGCTTTTCAGTGAAGGAAAACATCGTGATTGAAACCTTCACGTCGAAGAAGGCTCACGACCCTTGGAAAACGTGTGAAGTCTCGGCGAGCGTGGCGGACTATGGCCTAATCCCTCGTCTGAAAGGAGACCTGTGCCCAGCAGTGGGACGTATAAATGGGTTGATGGTGATTATGATTAGTAATTTATTGTTCTTTCATTACAGTTTTAATAGTAGAAGTTAGTCTCAAGAAATTACCTAGATTTTGAAATATCTCTAAACCAACGAATAATTGACTTGATTCACATTTTAAATGTTAATATTATGTGATAAATGTGTGTTAATTTAGTACGTTACGGTCAAGTTTTCATTAAATTAATTTCAATATTGCTTCTGAATCAGGGGTTTACTCCCATTCTCCATCCACCATCCATCTGAAACAATTACTGTCCAATAAGTAATACTTGACCAAATCAAACGACAATGTCTAGTATGAAGCTTCATTCGCATGATGCATCTTTTAATTTGGCCGAGTATTCCTTATTTGATAGTAGTTGCTTCGGACGGATGTAGGACAGAGAACGGGAGTAGATCTCCTAGGCTCGAAAACCAGTAATGTTAGCGTTACTGCGTTCCGGTTTTGAAGGGTAAGGGTGCTGATGAAATTACAGGCACTTTGGGTATCGCAGCAGCAATGAAACGGCAGTCAGATTGAAGTCTACGGTGGATTATCATGTCATTTAATTATCATGACCAGTGTTGCCAGACTTTTGCGAAATTAATTCGCCAATTTATGGGTGCTAAGTAGCCGATATTCGTCCAAGCCATAAAATTCCTAATAATCACAGAAAGCAATTTTGTTTGCTGCGGGAAATTGGGGAATATGAATTGTTTGTAATTCCTCAGACATTTTATTAAGTAGCCTAAAATAGCCTTTTCCTTTTTCAAAAATAGCCTTAATATCGCCAAATTGCCGATCACTTTTTTAATCACCGCGGCGAAAAATCGCCTTATCTGGCACCAGTGGTCATGACAGTCCTGAAGGGCGTAACTGACGTGGCCGACGAAGACTTGACACACAGGACCGATTTGAGACTCAAGACACTGACTTGAAACAGACATAACAGACTACCAGATTTGGAGAAACCTATTTTCAACAGTGATCATGAAAATTACTGATTGTATTTAAACTAGGGTTTTCAGTTGCGCTACATTTCTGGGTCCCGGGGAAAAAAATTGATACCCATTACCGTCTCAAAAATCCCGCGAAAAACGACACTTTCGAGACTATTCATAAGTAAGTTTCTATACTTATTGGTTAAGTATGTAGGAATTCAAAGTATGATATTTTAATTAAGTTCTTTATCATCTCAAATAATACAGTAAAAATTATTTATAATAGTTTTTTCATTTTTATAGTGCGCAAGTAAGCAACAAAGAGCATTAAAGCCAAACACACAGACAGCTTGTGCTTGTCTGTCGCGTGTCGGGTCGAGTGCACGGCGAGTGTAATGTATTTGACGTGTGACGGGTCCCGCGCCCGCTCGTGGTATCTTGTCGTCGGAATTACACCCGCCGTGCTCCAGCCCGACACGCACCCAACCCGCAACCAAACATGTAGTTTCAGATAAAGATGACTTCATTTTATTACTATCTTTCCTCTGTCTCCACATATTACATGTTTTGCGTAACCAGAACAAAAACGACTGTTGGTTTAGTAAGTCTTAAAAGTCTCGATATTGCCGAGACTAAAAACATCAGCCTCGAAAATGACAAAACATCGTCGACTCTCGGAATTTTTGAGACTGAGATTTCTGGGATGAAGCCCTAACTTAAACAGTAGATATACTGGAGAATTGACCTCTTTCTTGAAATAATTATTACAAAAAAGGGGCCTTTTTGTTTACCTTATATTTATGGGTTTGTGCTTGTTGCCCTCAGACTTGACTGATGTTTATGATTTTTTCACAGATAGAGTCTAATAAAAAACCACATTCAATTATATGATATAGGATATGATAAAGTAATAATTTATACAACACAGGAACAATTCAAAATCAAATTCTCAACTAATTTTTAAACAACTTCAATAAAAGGAGGAGGTTCTCAATTCAACTGTATTATTTTTTTGTATGCATGTTTCACGATAGGTTTTCAAAATAGGGAATGAATTGAGTTTTATGCACATTCCAGTAACAAATTTCAACAAAACTTGGCAAATAGATGTAATTCCATGAACTTTTGAGTTTGATATTTTTTTAGTACTCTGTACTGAGATTAGATAATTCATGGAATTGTCAAAATAAAGTATTATTAGGGACAGTAAGTGTCTTCAGAGCAACAAATCACATGCAACCTACAAGTCTTCTAACAACTCCCCTTTCTATCTTACTCACTAAATGAACTTTTGTAAGTGGGATAACGGTGATCACTCAGTCATAAAAAAGTTGTAGAGACCGCTGTGTCACTCTCTATGAACATGCATGGCATAAGTTAAGAGATATTGAGAGAAAATTTATTAATGGAGGCAACAAGTTTTCGATCTAAACTGGTTCATTAAGATTCAGTGCTTGTTAACATTGTTTAAAAACATTAATTTGTCATTATTGTAGGGCTCAAAATACAGCATTTTTTAAATTTAGTCTTTTAATATATGTATTTCTAGTCAGAACAGCAATATAAAAAAAACAATCGCCAGTCAAACCAACCACAGACACCAACCAATATAGTTTACCTTTTATTTCTAAGGACTTAGATACTAAATCATTTCTTTAACATTTTTTATTCATGCAAATTAAACATAACGTAGATCTGCAGAACTGCTCTTTAAATATAGACAAAACAATGATATGCACTGAGTAGTTAATGAGAATTTTCTAGAATAATAAGCAATTACCTGGAAGATATTGGATGCATATTAAACTAATAAACGTACTTTTGCATATTAATTTAGAAAACTATTATCAACATTACAATAAAAAATCACAAACATATATTTTGTATATAGCAAGCAATGCAAGCCATGCTTTTTATTAATCTTATTTTTAAATAAGGCCTGTACGTAACACTTGGGTGTCAATGTCGGCCTTGTGATGCATTGGAAAAAAACAAATCACAAACATGTTTATCACTGGTACAGACAACATCATATCAAGCTACACATTGATAGATCTTGATCCATTACTGTGTGGCAGTGCTCCTTAGATCTTTGCAATATAAAGCTCTGAGTGGCACTGCAACTGTTATGGACCAGCATGTAGCTTACCATCATGTTATTGCTTTTTTAACTATTTTTTATTCTCAATAAGTGCTGTATAATAACTATTGTTCACAATGTCATTTTAAGGCGCATGGAAATGTATGACGCAAAATTTGTGAATATCGCCGCAAATCTCGAAGACAACCTAAAACGTTGTTTGATTTCCAATTTTACATCGTAATTTATGGAGATATAAATAAATACCTTTTGAGGAGTTGGCAGTGGCCACAGCTTGAGAACTTTTCTCGAACTCTTCGAGGCACTCTTTCAGGGTTTCGTTGGACGTAAGGCATTGCTGCTTGAACTGATATGCGTACACCAGCCGATCCACGCAATTCAGACATATTAGCGTTGGTAAAGAATCGTTTTTCGACACCTAAAATCACAACCTCAAACTGACAACATATTCACAACAAAATACCACTTTCGGCAAACAAATTCTGGGATGTCAGCCAAAAATCATCAAATCACTACAAATAGACACACTATAGCAACATTATTCAACAGGATTGTTGTAGGGTGGCCATCGCAACCATCTTGTTTGCAATTTTTGCGTACCTCAATGCCACAGCAGAAAGTGAATTTCTCGCTGAGTTGTTCATTGTTTTCGTCCCAATCAAAGAGTGACACCATATCCCCGGTCCCTAAACACACTCTACATGTCAATTGCCAGTCCATTTTGTAAGAAAAATCGTGTAAATACCAAGAAGCGACGCTAAAACTGAAGAAATACGTGCCAGCTTCACGGTAACCGGAAGCTTGTGCCAACATACCAAAATGAAACAACGCGTCAAATATAATTTGTTATACGCAGCTCCGTTAACAAAGTTCCACTAAGTTTTAATGTGTTTCCGATAACGTATGCCGTTTTATAGGATTTTTTTATTGTTTTAGTAGTTACAATAATATTACTTTTATTCTAAGGTTTAGCCTTTATGAATAATTAAATTTTTAATTATTTAATATTTGAAATTACGTTCCGTTCTCCAAAATTTTATTGTTCGGATTGATCAATCGTTGTCATTATTTTGTGATGATCATTTGTTTGCAGTTTTTAGGCTAAAATAAAACGAAAATTAAAAGAAACATTTTTTAAACCTATGCAGTCTTTAAGACAAAAATCTATGGAAAATAAAAACATGTCACAAATCACAAATCTTCAGGGGTACATAGATACAAAATTACCTTAAGGTATCCCATAATTACGACGAGTTATAAATAATTTGATGTTGGGTTTAACGTTTAATCAAAGTTATATCTTGTTTATAATGCATTTGTTATGCCCATAAACGCACAGGAAGTAAGTAACAATGTGCGGGACGTTGAATTTGTCAAAAGCCATTGCTGGCAACCTCTAAAAATTAACCATCTGCCCCTTCCCCTTTCACAAAACGTCAAATTACAAAATAATAAACACAATGAAAATAATTACAAGAAATGATACGGACGTAAAATAAATCATACAAAAATGGAAGTGTTTAGATCAGAACTTTATTATATATTTGTTAAAAAAGAGTCGAGTTTGTGGTGGAATCGATGTACAGGGGTGTTTTCAGTTCGATCAGGTATTTGTTTTAACTTTTCGTATTTGCTTTATTGTATAGAATTCTGGCTTAGAAAATATTCAGTTTGTCAAAATAACAAAGAAAGTTTGTGTAAGTTGTAAGCTTTACGTAACAAATAAATATTTTGACCGTCTAGCTCAATAAACATAGTGGATTTTATGTATAGGAATTTTTACATTTTCAGCATGGGATCTTTCCGATATCGAAGATATAGAATGTTTAGGCGTCACGGAGGGTATATTAGGCAAAGTGGAACATAGCAACATTTACGAACCACGTCTGGCTCTCATAAAGGATGTTGAACCAGTTGGTGAAATTTACTTTCAACATACAGTTTATAAAATCAAGTCAGTGGTTTTTCTTAACATGGGAATGGAGAATCAAATTGTTGACCTATGTGCGTGCACGAAGCATGCATCGTCGAGCTCAGTGACTAGTTGCAGGAAGGGCAGTAAAATGGCAGCCAAACTATTTGAAAACTCGGCTTTGCTGAATAAAACAGTTGGTGCAGTCAGAAATGTTAGTAACACCATCAAATGCACAACGCAACAGGCTGCTTCTCAGGTATTGTAGTCTCATTTTAAAGATGGTATAAAATGACATTTGTAGAGTTGCCAGTTTTCATAAAATTTTAAATATTTTAATTATTAATAAGTTATGTAGTTGTTGCCAATAGTTTTGTTAATAGATTGTGAAAGAAAATAAAAATTTGCCAAAAATGACTGGATTGTGAATGTTATGTTCTAATAATTACTAATTCTGTTATTGCTTTCTTTATTCTTATTTTGATAGTCTAGATTATTTTTGAATCATTAACAAGAGTAGCCGGATTAGATTATCTATATAGAATTAAACAGAAAAACTTTAAAATACGTCTCCTCTTTGTATTTTTCATAAACATTCTTCAGTTCTAAATACAATGTATGCATGTATGAACTTACAAAAATTGACAATTCAAATTAAATTGTGCTCAATATTGGATGAATAATGGGATGAAAAGAATAATAGAATATTTATCTACTGCAAACATTAGCTCCTCGCAAGTGGGCAGCACTTTTGCGTAATGAACTGTCAATAGAAGACAGACTATTGCTACATTTTTTTATGGTATCAAGTGATAGGAGGAACAAGTCTTGCTATTGCTACCAGGTGATAAACGATATGCCTGTCCACAACAGTTGCGGTGCCACTCAGTGTTCTAAGTAGTTAAGATCTGAGGGGCATTGCCACTGTGCCTGTCACCCTGAGACATAAGTTGACAAGTCCCATGTGCCTGTAATTTCACCAGCATCTTACCCTTCACAACTGAATGACAATGATGCTCACATTACTGCTTGGCAGCAGAAATAGGAAAAGGTACTTTCTCATGGATAAACAATCATATTTCGTCATAATTTGAAAACCTTGTAACTCCGTTTTTTAATGTCATCCCCTTTTTAATTGGGCAACTATAAACCCTTTTTAATTAAAAAATAAAGGTACCATTGTTATATGATTATTTGTAGTAATTCTTTTTTTTTTGTGCCACTCAAAAGTTCACATTGATGGAGGTACGAGGTTTATGAATTTAGCTGGCTTTTTTTGTTATACCTGTTTAAAAGTCAAAGATAACTAATTCATTTAAATTACAATCAAACTTAGACCTAGTTTATGTGTAAATAAATATAAAAAGTATAGCTATAAAATTTATTGAACTGTAAGAGACTTAACAAATAATGATGAATGAACAGAAATGATAATAATATAGTGCCAAAAAATTTTCATTTAAATAGCCTTGGTAAATTTGCAAAGCTAATCTGCAAATATAATTCATAAGCAATATTTGTACTGTCAACAAGACAGGAAAATAGGTGATAATTTTCAATAAGGATACAGTATATAAATAATAGTTTATTTATAATGCTTATTGTTTTGATATGATATATTAAGACTGAAAGTTGCATGACCTCCATTAACTTGTCAAAAATCATGATTTCTGAAAAAATTAATTTGTTTTTGTGAAGCTGATTAAGTTCTATTCAATAGTGAATATTAGGATAACCATTTTATAAAGATCTTTCCAGTCTTTTATATTCATTTCACACTTTTTTAACACAGGTAAAAATATCATCAAGAAGGCAACCAAATCCAAAAGTTGGCGATAAACTCGAAAAACGAATCACTGACGAACTTACAAAGCTGTTTGACGACTCAGATGGATTCTATTTTTCCCGGACATTCGATTTGACAAATAGTCTGCAACGATTGTCAAAGATAGAGAAGATAATGAAAGAAGAAGATGAAGATGAGAATAAGGAGGGAAAAACAACATCTAATACAGACATTACAAAATGGTGGAAACATGTTGATGATCGGTTCTTCTGGAATAAACACATGTTGTCTGACATCTTCTGCTTGGGGGTACGTGTTACATCTTTGACAATTATTTCTATACATAAAATTAATCACAAGTATTATATTTGTTATAATATGTAAAAAAAAAAACAATTTCTCAGCAAAGGATTTCACTGGGACATTTGACAAAAGATATGTTTGTATATGCATAGTAGATATGGGTGTAGAGTTGAGAAGACAACTGGACCTATGTTGGGCAATGAGTGTGCAAACTTATGTCTATCCAATTTGTAAAATAGCAAATGTTACAACAAAATCTTTTTCCTCAGAGTCCGACATGCGACGAATGGGTCCTCCCTGTCATCCAGGGCTATGTCTACCTGTCTCAGTTACCAATGGAAGCCCCCGACTGCAACTCAGACCCAATGCCCACCCGCGGCATCCCCCCTATTTCGCACGATACTTTTAATTTGGGCATTATTTCACGACGGTCACGGTACCAGGCTGGAACTAGGTAAATTTATTTAAGCAACCATTAAACTAAACGGTTGTCATCGAGTGTAGCAAAACGGGATAATTTTTTTCTTAATATATCCATTTATTTATCTCGAAACAAAATCTCATCACAACCTCAGCACACATTGTGTAAAATTTTCTAAATAAAAATTAAAACGTCCACCTCGACTTTTACTAAAACTTGATTTTATTGCCTGGGCGCATGTCCATCTGTGCTGCCGCGTGAAAGAGAGACTTTCACTTTTATTTTGTTATTAAAAAGTCCGGACTTTCTTGCAAATGTCAGGCTTTTTGTACGGATTATTCAAAAATTTTCTTAATGGTATTCCTATATGAAATGAAATTAAAAAGGACCAATCATATCTTGCGTGACATATGTGACTTTGTTTTTGTTGATTATTGTTACAATTTTAAATGTTTTGTTAAGGTACAATCGACGCGGCATCGAGCCGAATGGCAAGGTGGCCAACTACGTAGAAACGGAGCAGATAGTCAGTATAGTTTGCTGCGGAAGTATGCACAAAGCTTCCTTTGTACAGGTAAAGACACATCTATTATCTTAAAAAAATATATCTTATATCTCTTTTGGTGTATCAACTCATATACTGATGTATAGACTTTTTACACGCAGGTTTCTTCGCAATGTTTTAATTCACTATTAGCAAATGAATAATTATTAATTCTGTACATTTTCATCAGTTATTCCTTCAGTTTGTATGAAATATTAAAAATGGTATATGAATTTGTTTCAATGAATCATCATCCTATTTAAGAGTCAGGCTTGCCTCCTCCACTATCACGGCCAGCTTTTTGACCTCTTTAAAGCTGCTTACTTTGGTTTTCTTTTTTATTTCTTCACCATTCGTCACTCATGGCATTCCTCTCTAATTTATTTATTTAATAAGGCTTACCAACTAAATACATACAGATAAAAAATATAAAAACTATAAATATAAAGATAAACCATTTAAAACTAGTACTATGCATGCATTTGCAACTGTTATGGAAAGACGTGTCACCACCAGGTGACTTAAATAAATAAATAACGCACACACTCAACATAGCCCCGCACTAGGGAAACCCTGTGTCGCGGGTGCCATGAACACACACATATAGACAACCACAAATTACACCCAAACTCACGAGAGAAATAAATGTAGGCCATACAAACATTTCTCCCGGCCCGGGAATCGAACCTGGGACCTCTGTGTGGCAGTCCGGCATGGTAACCGTTCGGCCACGGAGTCAGTTATCTTTCAGTCAGTTACTTGTTCGTCCTGTCACTTGGTCTCTTAAAAAAAAAACTAAAGGTATGCACAGCATTATACTAAGGTATTATTTTGAAAGCACGTGAGTATGACCAGGAGGCCTACCATAACCTTTCAAAAACAATCTTATTTCATCATCATCATCAGCCTATCGCAGTCCACATCTGGACATAGGCCTCCCCCAATGTGCGCCATTCGCCCGGTCCTCAGCTTGTCGCATCCATTTACCGCCAGCAACCTTTCGCAGGTCGTCACTCCACCTGGAAGGAGTTCTACACCACGTTTGCTGAGTCGCTGTCTCCACTCTAGAAGTTGTTTTCTCTATCGGTTATCGGTTCTTCGACAGATATGGCCAGCCCACTGTCACTTCAGCTTGCTTATTGCACGAGCTATGTCGGTGACCTTAGTTCTCTGTCGGATAACCTCATTACGAATTTTATCCTTCAGAGAAACTCCGAGGATAGCCCGTTCCATAGCTCGCTGAGCGACTTTAAATTGTTGGACTAGTCGTAACGTGAGTATCCACGTCTCGACTCCGTAAATCATAACAGGCAGGACGCACTAGTTAAAAACCTTTGTTTTCAGACTTTGTGGTATAGGTGACGAGAAGACTCGACGTAGCTTCCCAAACGTTGCCCATCCAAGCTGAATCCTCCTCCTGGCTTCCTTCTCGAAATTGTTTCTACCTAACTGCAGAATCTGCCCGAGATAAGTGTATTCGGAAACAACTTCAAGAAAGTGGCCATTTACGACTATGGATCTCGGGTCATTGTGATCATTGATCATGACTTTGGTCTTGTCCAAGTTCATGTCGAGACCAATACGTCGTGAGGCGGACATCATCTGCTGTAGTTCCTCCAGCGACTCCGCTGACAATGTCATCTGCAAATCGCAAGTGTGAGATGTACTCGCCGTTTATTTTAATGCCCATACTTTTCCAGGGTCTTAAACATATCCTCCAATGCGGCTGTGAACAGTTTCGGGGATATGACATCCCCTGTCTCATCCCCTGTCTAATTGGATGGGTTTAGACTGCTGGTCCTGTATTTGGACACTCATAGTGGCGGCGTTATACAAACAACTCAGCACTTCGATATAATGATAGTCCACTTGGCACCGCTGCAAGGATTCCAAGACAGCCCAGGTTTCGACGGAATCAAAAGTCTGCTCAAAGGCTAGACACAAGGGCCGATTATACTCTTCTGACTTCTGTATAATCTGCCTCAACGTGTGTATGTGGTCTATGGTGCTGTATCCCCATCGAAACCCGGCCTGCTCCGGACGCTGAAACTCGTCGAGTCTTCTGGCGAGACGATTCGTAATGACTCTAGAAAACAGCTTATATACGTGGATCGGGAGTGAAATGGATCTGTAGTTTTTAAGTAAATATTTGTCTCCGTTTTTGAAAAAGAGAACTACAATACTTCTGTTCCACGTTTTAGTAGTTCTCCCACATTGAATGACGGAGTTAAACAGGTTCCGAAGTTCCTTGATGACTGGAACTCCTCCGGACTTCAGAAGTTCTGAAGTAACTCCGTTTTCACCAGTGGCTTTTCCATTTTTGAGCTGTTTTAGAGCCAATACGATCTCGTCTTGGCTGATATCTGGCAGGTCGTCGGTATTGTGGCGCATCAGGGCGGCTCTGGGATCGTGGTTGTCGTGTAGGGTACGAGGAACATGTGCAGCGTATAACCAGCCATAGAACTTTTCTATCTCGGCGAGCATCTCCGCCTTCGACGTTATGGTTCGACCATCGTGTGTTGTAAGCTTCGTCAGGTGGCTGCTTCCAAGCTGCTGAGTGAACACTTTGGACCCTCGGTTTCGTACTATTGCCTCCTCAATGAGGCGTGTACTGTTGTAGCTCCGAAGGTCGCGCCGTATCATCTTCGCAATCTTCTTGATGAGGTCTGACCGCTCTGACGAAGTGGCCCGAGTGTCCTCTCGTCGTTTAGTCATTAGCCGAAGAGTCTCATTCGAGAGTTTGGACTTCGTACCTGTACGCTGCAATCGGCAAAATTTAATGCCCTCTGTCCTCAACGTTTCAACCACGTTTTGCAGGGCCTCGTCGACGTCATCAGTGGGTTCCATTTCAACGAATCATTGCACGAGAAGTTTCTGAAACTTATCGACGCCCGCAATGATTTGGAGTGGATTAGGTCGGAGTACTTCATCAAGCGACGTCTTTCCAGTTTGAGATCGATATTCAGAGACTCGTACGAGTCGGTGATCAGATCCGGTATTAAACCTGCTGATCACGGAGACGTCTCTGAATATGTGCCGTTTATCCGCCAAGATGAAATCAATCTCATTTTTGGTCACAGCGTCGGGGCTTTGCCATGTCCACTTCCTTTGAGGCTTCTTCTTAAAGAACAGTTCATCAAGAAGTGCCCCTCCTTCTCTAGGAAGTTGATCAGCATCCTGCCCCCTGTGATTCCTGCTTCCATAACCGTGTGGGCCTGTTCGAGATTCTCTGAGACTCTTGAGTCCCACTTTAGCGTTAAAGTCCCCCATAACAACGTTGAAGTGGGCCTTGGTGGTGTTGTGTAAGGCTCTTGATATGTCCTCACGCATACCTTCTACTTCGTCATCTAAATGTGTCGAGGTCGGCGCGTAGATCTGTACCATCTTCAAGCTATACCTTTTTGATACCCGAAGTATAAGGTACGAGGTCGATACACTAGAGATCTCCTCAACGTTGCTAGAGAGGGCCCTGTTGACGAGGAATCCTACGCCGCCCTGGGATGGTTGATCACCTTCGCGGAAGTACAGAAGATGGTCCGAGTCCAGGGTTATGGTATCCTCTCCCTCTCTTCGGACTTCGCATAGCCCCAGAATATGCCACCTTATGTTCTCTAGCTCCGCTTCTAATTGTGTTAGGTGCTCATCAAGCCTTAGAGCTCGTTCATTAAACGATGCCAGGGTCAGTTGTTTTAGGTAGCCTGAGGTAGCCCGGTGATTCTTAACACCCCCTGTCCCGCTGTTACCATGGCCGCTACCGTGACCAGGAATAGCGAGGCGGCCGGGAACTAGGGGCCTTTCCTGTGTTGCGCCGTTCATTTGTGGGGTTTATGCCCATAATCTCCACGCTGGGCATGCGGGTTGGAGATCGCAGGACACAGTGTTTTACACCCCCGACGCTGCTGCCCATCGGTGGCCAGTAAATTTTACAGTGACGTTATGGGAAGGGCTATACCGCCATCGACCGGTCGCCAGAGCCTCGTTAGTTCCTGCAGGATGCACCACGTGCAGGTGAGGTTGACATTAGGAGCTCAGGTGGTGATTGCTCCCTTACATCCCTTACAATCTTATTTCAATGTAAGCTTAATATAATATTACTCATATTCGTACCATGACAAACCTTTCAACCAAGTAAGGTATTAATGCTAACGTTACTAAAATAGGAACGAAATAACGCTATATGAGCTGTATAAAGTCATCTCTTTCTGTTTTGATGTTCCGAATCGTCTTATCGTAGTATAATGTTAAAGTACTTAATATACTGTACTTATTACTTAATAATATTATTCAGAGAATTTTAACTGCCAAAAAACGAAATTCGGAATTATGGTCTAGTGTCAGCTGTTCGTGTCGCTGTCATAATATTACTAAATAAACATCGCGTTATTTATTTAACGAAAAATTATTTCCTATTTACGGACAACAGCGTATCAGACTACACATTTTTGTTCGAAAATCGCCTCCAGTGCAACGGAACAAGATACGTCAATGAGAGCTTGATGTGCTGGCGTGGTACAATTTACTATTACTACTATAATACGGTATAAATACTACGGTACTATTAAATAAAAAAATAAACAAAATATTGAAGAGATTCATGTAAATAATTTAAACTTAACTTTTAATCGTTACCAATCATATTTAGACAATAAATCCGAAAATAATATTGTTTCCATTGCGTCCGAGTAACTATTTTAGGATTGCTAAATTTGACATAAAAACAATATTACTGTTAATGTTAAAGTCGTGTCATAGTTTGAACTGAGTGAATGACTAGTCACAAACCTGCCAATAAAACATCATAGTTTTAACATTATAATAAGCTTACTTTAAACGCGTCATGGTACAAAAAGTCAATGTAAGGTTAAAATAATATTGTTTTAAGAGGTTGGGATAGGCCCCCCTCTGTCCATACATATATAACTAGATTTCCTTTACATTTTTTTCCCTTTTATCTTACCCTCAATTATGATGCTCACAAATTCGTCATTTCGTATCTTAATGTCCAAACATTTTCCCCCTTCTGCTCTGTATTGAATTCAAAAGATTTCTTTCTACCCTAACTCTTTTCAAAATTTCCTCTGTTGACATCTTTTCAGTCCAATTTATTTTTTCCATTTCAAATGCACAGCACCACATTTCAAATGACCCCAATCTCTTTATATATGATTTCTATATGATTGTCCCGTTCTTTAATCGTATAGGTATTTTTGAAGTAAAAACGTTTTTTCATTATTAAAAGCATGTTTTGCTATTGCGTTTTAACGAATAGAATGCAGTAATTAGAGATTTGAAATTAAATATACAATTGAAGTGATATGTATATGTATACAATAATTATATATACCGTGTTATAAGTATAATTACAGTTCTCCCTCGTTCTGTACATTAATTAATATAAATTACTCTACTCAAAACGGCGTTTAACTTTCAACTGAAATTTTTGGAAGAAATTACTGTAGTGAAAGTGACTCAGAAGTTCAAAAAACTCCGTAACAAGAACATAAATAAAATATAAAACAAGTAACGACACGGTCTAGTGGGTTGTGTTACTTTATAATATAACGTAGGTTTTAGACCTTACTACTACAGTTTTAAGAGCTTTTAGAACATTTTATTAACAAAACATGCGATATAAAGAAAGCGTTACTCGCTGGAGATAGTATGTTTTAGAGCCTATGTTTTTGAGATATTTCTTTTGTATACGAATCGCCATACGTATGAAGGTGGCCTACTCATTTTATGTGAATTTAATAACAAAAGCTTTATCGAAATTATTAATCGAGTGTCTCAACCCAAAAGTGGTGTAACCTACATTTAATTTTTCTCCCACAATGTTACATTGAATTATACTAAAGTACACACGCCAACACATCAAGCTACACATTGATGTATCTTGTTCCGTTGCAATGGAGGCGATTATCGAACAGAAATGTGTAGTCTGATGTGCCGCTGTCCGTACATAATCATTTTGTATTTGGATGCCACTTTATTCATGAAAATTTTCAAAACAAAATTGCTGTTTTCGTGTATAAAAATAGCATCCAATTAAAAAATAGTAATGTGCTTAGTATCATTATAAAATAACATCATATTCATGTATAAAATCGCATCTTTTAGTGTCATTTAAAATAATATTGTAAATAAATCTAAGAGTGACTTACACCTCAAGTACCGTTGGCCCATCTGATACAACCGTACTACCAGGGTAGGTTTATAAATAAAGATGCAACGAAAAAAAGCGGAAACGCTTTTACAAACCCACTTGTGGAGGGACTTAAGGTAGAATTCTCCTTATCACTTACATAGATACAATACCCAATGAATGATCGCTTCATTAATTTGACAATTGTATCAAATTTGACATGATTGTGTTCCGAAGAAAAGAAATACAATGTAGAAAAAAAAATACAATGTTCTGTGATATATTCACTACGTTCTTCGGTACATGTTTCTCTCGCAAGGCAAAATGGTACGTGAGCCATGGCTATTAATAGAATCTTTGTTCTGCATAACCGTGCAGTTAAGGCAATTTATAATAATTATAGTAATAATAATGCTCGCACTCATAGCTCCGCTATTGGAATACCCTGTATCGCGGAATCGAATCCGGGACCTCTGTGTGGCAGTCCAGCTTGGTAACCGTACGGCCACTGAGGCAGTTATAATTATGTGTCCCAGAGTGTCTTTACGTGAGACGTTTAATAAATTAACATTCTTGCACTAGCATCTTACAAGCGTTTTTTAAAACCATAGTGAAACAAAAACTCTATACTAAAAGTTAATACAGCTTCTGCGTACTGGAATGACAAAAATCCATGGTAGTGACCGCGTCTTTTAAAAGCATAGTGATTTTAAAACCATAGTGAAACAAAAACTGTATACTAAAAGTTAATACAGCTTCTGCTTTCTGGAATGACGAAAATCCAAGGTAATGACCCGTTCATCTCTTGCAAGTTGTCTTCATCTATCGTATTCGAGAAAATAATAATATAAAAATTGTAAATAAATGTATACAAATCTTTATTTATGAAGAGTAACCCTAGAGTTACTTACTCATTCTTTCAGGAGAATCTAAAAAACTGCTAACAGATTGACTGCATGTTTGCAGTTATTGCGTGAAATCGTTATCAACTTCATGCAGTCGAGGTCTCGGTTGCTTGAAGTCGGTTACGACTGCATGCAGTCAATACGTGAAGTAGTTATCAACTTCATGCAGTCGAGGTGTCGGCTGCACGAAGTTGATTACGACTTCACATTATCTGCCAACTTGCAGTCAATCTGTTAACAGCCTAATAATAATAATAATTTATTTTCATCTAAACGTTTAAATACAACTTACATAACGATTTAAGAAAATACGAGTAATAACATTTTAACGGTTAACTTAGTACGAGTTTTTGAATAATATAAATCATTAATTCACTTATGGCGGTATATTAACAAAAATGTTTATTACCTTCCGTGCTAGTGAAAACTGTGTTACGGCAAGGTGAGATTCTCACACAAACGAATTTACATATTCTTTAGGAATTAGTCGTAAGGATTAGTATTATAAATTATTCATGCAAATAAATCACATAAGAAAAGTGACAAAAAGATGCTGAAGAATGCCGAATTTAGGTAAACATGCTTATGTGTATAGTACATGCAAGTAAATCAAAAGAGCTGCTTAACATGTTGTAAGAGTTTTAATCAAAGTGACAATTTCAAATGCAATATGCTTACCTATAAAATAAAAATTATTTTAGTTTGTATTTGAATTTAGTTTGTAGGGAAAATATATAAAATGTTCATATAAACTTTATTTTTCCTTGTTGCCTATATATACATATTTAGATAACGTTACTAAGTAATTTCTTCCTGCAGATCTAATAATAATGTGCCAAACAATCACCTCAATCACCAGGTCTCAAACAAGGGCATTTTCTATACAGTACCAAAGCAACGGAATTCCGTTCGTGTCACTATGCGGGACACCTAGACTAGTCAATTTAGGAAAGTTCATTACCGTCAATTGAACCTGGGATCCCCTCGTCCAGCGTCCACAGTGCTCAGAACACTAAACACATACATGCTCAGAACACTAGACCTGACAAAAAAATAAAATTTTTTGCAGGTTCGTGGCTCAATACCAATATTCTGGAGTCAACCGGATGTTAAATTCCGGCCGCCACCTCGAATTGACAGAAGTAAGTGCAATTGTTATATTGTAGTACACACACAGGCACGTTCAGCGGAACAAATAAAATATCAGAATATACAACAGTTATTTTTAGGCTGGTTTCACAGCTGTGCGTACGGTCCGTACGAACTTTCCGCCTGCGAGCCATCCGCATGCGTAGAATCCGCAGTGCTCTTAATTAAGTATTTAATTTAGTGCTGATGTTCACGGAGGACAGTCGCCTACAAATAACCATCGAGTATATAACCAAAAATAGAGACGAAATGTCATTTAATTTGTTTGAAAACTATTCTGCCAAATAATAACTGTGACAACTGCGCTCCGATTGGCCAGCCCAAATTCGAAACAATTGACGGGTGTCGTCAATTGTTTCATTTCAAATCGACCAGTTAACTTGAGCTTTGCTATAATGGACGAAAACTGCAAAATTACATATTTAATTACCGATGAAATGTGATTCTATTTGTTTTGTAATTAGATGTTTTGCTGTTTTTCCTACACCACCGAATGGAACAGCTCCACATTGTTAGATATATTATATTTATTACAATAAATACCAAATATTTTTGGAATATACGGAGACTTTCACACATGTCAGTTATTGGCGCTGTACTATTTCAGCTTTCTAATTTGTGATTTTAGTGCACACGAGAGTTGATATTTAAAAGTGATATAAGGCCCATTTATCTGATGAGTTGCCAGGGATGGATAGCCCTTATTTCGTCTCTGTTTCTATACTCGATGCAATTAACGGACGGGTGGCTCGTGCGGAGTTCACGCGGCGCGTGTTCCGTACAGAGCAATCCGCTTCACTGTAAAACGATGTTCTAACCGGTGCTCCGCGCGGACGGTCCGCAGATAAATCCGCACTGCTCTGAATCCAGCCTTAAATTTATATAAATAAGAATTAGACACAAAATAGCAATTAAATTAACATCGACTGAACCTTGCTCAACCTTCATAAAAAAAATGTTGTGTTTCGTGTCGCTCACCACCAGGTTCACGACTTGTTCATCCCGTCAATTATGTAAAAGAGTACATTTTTATTAGTTAATAAGTTGTTTAATTGCTTTTTAAATAGCATAATGTTTTTCTCAGATCTTAGTACTTTTGGTATATTGATCCTTAAATAATCCCATGTTCTCTTTTTAGGCGAAGAAGAATCCCAAGAAGCGTTCAGGAGACATTTCGATGAAGAGATCTCTCTGTACAAGCAAGTTTGCATCGTGAACCTAGTGGAGCAGCAAGGGCGTGAACGGGTTATGTGGGATGCTTTCGGGAATCACGTGCTTAAGTACAACAGCCCGGACGTCATTTACGCCACTTTCGACTTCCACGAGTATTGGTAAGTATCAGAGATGGGCAAGTGAGCGAGTTTTATCCCGGCACTTTGTTAATGACGAGTTAAAATCGGGTTAGAACCCTTTAATGCCCTAAATCGAGGGCACAGCTGTTCATTCGATGGTGTGCGAAAAACAGCAAAATATCTAATTACAAAACAAACGTAATCACATTTCATCGGTAATTAAATATTTAATATGTAATTTTACAATTTGCGTCCATTATGGCAAAGCCAAAACAAAGCCCACGTGAAACAATTGACGACACTCGCTCTAGTGCATAAAATAAAAAAACCATCACATTAAATATGTCTAATTGTTGTAATTTTACTTACAATTTTAATTAAATTATCGTTTATTTGTAGTGTTGCTGTATAATTTCCTCGTAATCGAAGTGAAAAGCAGAGTGTATAATTCATTCATAAAACCCATTTTACCCTCGACTTAAGTATCCATTGGATATACTCGTCACGAGTAAAATGACACGTTTTATGCACTTGTTGTATAATCTACTATTATTTAAATAAATAAAGTAAATAAAATAAAATAATAAAATTCATTTATTTCGGGCAGCAAAAACCCATATTATAGACAATACATTCACTACACATTACATTATTATTACCTGAAATTTAATGCAGGTAATAATAATGTAAATTAAAATTTACAAAATATTACAAAACACAAACTATCATTATAAAATTATTTAACTTATGAACTAAGTGTTTGAAACAACATGCAGGCGACAAGCTTGGTTCATATATGGACAGTCGAACCTGTCCGCAATCATGCGCATGATGGTGTTGGGGCTGACCCGTACCCTACTCACCAGTGCCAATGCCCGTTTGCGCATGGTCGAGTAAAAACAGTCGACGTGAGCCGCTGCGAACATGCCCGAGGCGCTGCAGTATCGGGGCAGCCCCATCAACACCCTAAACGCATTATTGTATTGGACACGGAGGGCCCTATATGTCTTCTGAGAGCACGTCTCCCACAGGCTGCATGTGTAGAAGGAAGTGCAAAATGTTTGCTTTGTCGCGAAAACCTAAGAATTTGATATTATTTTCCAGTCGCGGCATGCACTATGAAAACGTGAGCATCCTAATAAACGCAATATCGGACATTATAACCGACATGCGTTTCTGCTGGCGTGACGACCGCGGCCTCATCTGCGAGCAGACCGGTGTGTTCCGCATCAACTGCATCGACTGCCTCGATCGGACCAATGTTGTGCAGGTTTGTACAACGCGGACGTATTTTTTTAACCAACTTCAAAAAAGGAGGAGGAGGCTCAATTCGATTGTATTTTTTTGTATGTATGTTACGCGATAACTGTGGCATTTGTGAAACGATTTTGATGATTCTTGTTTTGTTGGAAAGGGTACCTCAGTATTTTTTTTATAACGCACACACTGAACATTGCTCCGCACTATGGAAACCCTGTGTCGCGGGTGCCACACATAGACAACCTCATATTACACCCAAACTCACGACAGAAATAAATCGATACCTCCAATGAACACTACGCCATCTTTATTTTTTGGTCATCTTCTGTTATTTTTGTAAACAGCCATATTTATTTGCCTTAGTAAGTATGGCTGCTTAATATAAATATAATCTTAATTGTGCTCCCCGAATTTTGTGAAAAAAAGAAACAAGAACAAAAAAAAACTAATTTTGTAAAAAAAAAGAAACAAAAAACAAAATAAAAACAGGGCAGGTCCAAAAATTAAGTTGGCTTAGTGTTCATTGAAGGTATCGAAATGTAGGCCATACAAATATTTCTCCCAGCTCGGGAATCGATCGTGGGACCTCTGCGTGGCCGCCTGGCATGGTAACCGTTCGGCATTATTCCACCCCTAAGGATGGCAAACTAGGGGATGAATCCGGTTTCGCACACTTTCCCGTTACTGATTTCAATAAAACTTGGCTAATAAAATATGTCATTCCACGAAACTTTCAGGTCGATTTTTTAAATAAAAAGTTATTTAATGACAAAATAAATGCCGAAACTAAGCATAAAAATGCCTGTGCGTCAGGCTACCAGGTTCCTGCCTCTCAGAAATGCCAGTTAAATAAATCTTTACACAAGGTATTTTTAACACTCATCAACAAACAATCTTATTAAGTCGCTTCATGAAAGGACTCTTACAATGAATTAGAAACTCAAAAAGGATGATTAGTCACGTATAGGTGTATAATTATGGGTGTTAGTTTAATTGTGAGCTGTAATATCACTTAACAATACACATAAAATATGTATACATACATAGTAGATATAATAAATCATAATGGACATAATAAAAAAATATTTATACTAATACTTTGTTGAACCAATAAAATGCAGGAATACGAGTTGTTTGTGTCCATATTTAAAAACAACTCCCTTTGGTTTCCGTCAGGATGGCTGGACCAAACGAGATATACAGATCAAACTGTGCTCATTATTTATAACCTATTTTCTACTATTCAGTACCTTTATTGACATATTTTCCACCTTAGCGCCAACGGAAATACTAAACAAATAAAGTGACCAGCCATTGTGACATCAGGTTGGCTGACTACTTTACGTTTTTCATGGTTCTAGCAGTATAAAATTTACTTTTTTTATATAACTATTTACTACCTAAATATACTTTTTTTTTCACTATTTTAGGAAGCTTCTATAAAAAGGTATTTAAAAAAATATATAAAACGCCTTTGCTAAAGTTGTCTTCTAAAAAGACAGTATATCTTCTCCGTGTAATTGCCAATAATACTTTTTTCAGGCGCTTAGTATATGCAAACGTCGGTTTTGAAAAAAAACAAATATACGTGATTTAACTCAGGAAAAATAGTTTTATTTCCTATATGTCACAGTCGCGAAAACCTAAGAACTCGATATAATATTATGTGGTTATATTAAGTTTATTAAATATCATCTTATACTACTGTGATATTCACTTATGTTTTGTTAAATTACTCCACTAGTTTATTATAATTATTAGTACAAAGATCTGCCTATAAGGCACGATATGCTGGTTCGAATCCAGCCGGATCGAGAGACTTTTTCTTAGTGTTTGATATTTGTATTAATAATTATTATTGTATGATTATGAAATATACAAATCAAGTGTTTATGGAGCACACTGGCTACTGTAACACAGGTACGTCGGGGACTCCATTAGGATGGTTTGACTATTTTGTAAAATGAAACATCTGTTGTCAATACCAAATAGTAGATTGTGCAATAAGTGCATAAAACGCGTCATGGGTTTTGTGAACGAGTTATACACTCTGCTTTTCACTTCGATTGCGAGGAAATTAAACAGAAATATTACAAATAAACGATTATTTTCTACACGTGACTCAGGTCGGACTACATAATGCTCAGTTATATCACGCAGGCGTCATTGCCTCGGTCTTAAACGACGATTTTATTTTATGCACTAGAGCATAAAATTCTATTTTATGCACTAGAGCATAAAATCCTATTTTATGCAGCCCACACCCAGCATAAATACGAACTTTAAGAGTATGAGAAGTAAAAAGTAATGTTTATTGTTTATTACAGACCGCAATAGCGAAATATGTGTTAGAGCTGCAACTATGTCGCTTAGGCCTTTGCACGCCTGGATGCGGGCTGCCACAGGAACTGCGACATGCTTTCCTCACGATGTGGGCAGACAATGGAGATATCCTCAGCCGCCAGTACGCCGGGACTAAAGCACTTAAGGTTACTAGATATCTTCTTTCTATTATATTCAATTTTTTAAACTCTATTTAAAGACTTTTACCAATTTTGAACAATGAACATGTCATCCACTTTAGAAAAAACAATACATCAAAAAAGCACTTAACAGAATCCAAACATCCCCTTCCTTTCTACATAAGTTTTGATTATAGTGACCCTCCCTATCGACCATTAGGGTATACGAGAAAGGCACTATAACCTGTGCCTGAACCTTCTAAGCTCAGGTCCTGACCCCCGATCGGCCAGTGTACAGGCTTGTGACTGACTGCATCCGGTTTTCAAGACGCTAGTGGCTCGAGTAAGCCGCCTGGGTGCACGTACATTATTCTCCCTACTTTCCAGATAAGTAGCTGTAGGTACGCTAACTTCCCGTTGCACGTTGCACAACTAACGGTTGCCACCGCTAAAGACATTGACTCTAGAGTCCACTACCAAATCTCGGCTCCGTCTCTCTTCTCCTGGTAAAGAGTAGAATCTCATAGAATCCAAGTAGATAAATCACCCGTTTTCGAAGCATCTAGTGCTCCTTGTGAAAGAGTTCGTCCAGGGAAGTACATTACCTATGTCTACCGCCAAGCAGTAATGTGATCCTACGTTCCGGTTTTGAAGAATAAGGTGATGAAATTACGGGCACACAGGATTTGTCAACTTTTGTCTTTGAGTGGCACTGGAACCGCTATGGACAGGCATGTCGCTTACCACTAGGTTCACGGCTTGTTCGTCCCGTCACTTGGTGCAACGGTACAACGAATCTTCGTCAATGTATTGTAACTTGATATGCTACCGTCTGTACCTTGTTTTGTGTTATTGTTTGTGCAATAAAACATTGATATTGCGTTGTAAATACTGATGCAAGCTAATGCTGTGTAGTGAATTTTTGTGCCATCTGAATGCTAAATTAAAGAAAATATTCCTCCAGGGCGACTATACAAGAACTGGCGAGCGGAAAATTACAGGCTTGATGAGAGACGGAGTATTTTCGGCTAACAGGTGCGTAGCATTTATATTAAATCAATACAACATTAAAGCATTACACACTGCTATCACCAGAGATAGGCAAGCGTCCGGGTTAGGTAATGTCGGGCTAAAATCCATTAACGCCCGAAGTCGAGGGCAAAAATTATTTACTACTAATTATTTGTTGTAAATCGAGTTTTGTTCAAATTTAATGATAAATGTTTGTTGCTATCCGATCTAGACCATTCGATTTGCTTATGGAATGGATTCGCTTGAAAATTGCATTGAAATAAATCGATACAAAAAATCGCTAGATTCATATGCTCTTGAATCTATTTTCATAAAAATCGAATTGTAATGTTCCTTAGTAGCGAGAATCCATAGGATTGCTTGGTGTTGCCTCTTTTTTCGTCTATAAAGATTTTTTACATTAAATTTTGTAAAAAGCATGGAATTATAACAAATTCCGTATTCGCCGTTTCCGCACACGATTTTGGGCAGAAACCCAGTTGAAACCCTGGCGGGTTGAATGGCTTCTAACCCATTTTGCGACACGCCAGCTGTTTTTGATGTTGTGACCCCCTCAGTGCAATACAAACGTCGTAGTGCGTGTAAGGCGCGACTGACGTCATAGTATGAGAACCGCCTAAGACGGAACCGCACTAGTCGAAACTGCACTGTAATGAACTACAGCACGCTTTAGTGCCGTGTTGACACACCCGTATGCAAAATGTACTTTCTGTCAACTGACGCATGCCCAACGTGCGTGTGATGTTCATGGCGTCATTCAAATTATATCGATACGAAAAATTTAAAAATCAGTCTCTTGAATACTTCCATTTGTCCAACAGATACCTTATCCGCCATTTTAGCGACGCCATTACACAATTGGCTATAGACATCGCACTAGGGCAAAACATAGACTACAAAACCATAGAGGAATATGACAGTGTGTGGCGGGATTTTAAAACTGCCACAATTTTATTGTATGAAAACATGGATAACGATAAACCGAAGTTAGAAATGATGCCCACTTATTTTGGACACGGTTTGACAAGTGAACTTGTGGCTGTTGAAATTGCATATGGAATAGGGAGGTCAGTGCAATGAGAGAGGCTGCCAGAATTTCATGACACGAAATTAAAAACAAACAAATGATAGAAAAAATGCTAAGGAAAGTTCTCTCGATTCGACTGGACTCATTTGTTGCCTTAACGTAACCATGCAACAGACTCTGGTTCGAGTCCAGTTGGATCTTGAGATTTTTCTTTCTGTTTGTTCGATCTTTGTATTAATAATAATAACAAACTATTGGAGAATTACCATGAATAATATCAAAAGTATCATGATATTCAATAAAAATAAATATTGCAGTTTCATATTAACTAAAGGATAACTCATATGTGTATTTGAATATGAATTTTGCTTTGTGTTCGATCTTTGTTAGTAATAATTATAAAAAACTAGTGGAGTAATTTCATAAAAAAATAATTGAATAAGATCGCAGTAAAACATCAAAATATTCATTAAAAATCAATATTACAAATCTTAAAGCGACATTTCTTGTCAACCTCTGGTAGCTGTAAAGGTACCTTTACAAAAGACAAAATTTTTTCTTCTAAAACTTTTGTTTTTTCAGACGCTACAACGAAAGCAGATACTAAGTTTATATTTGTAGAAAATCCATCCAGATTGAAAGTGAAGTTGTGAACGATGATTTCAAAAGATACCTGCTCACTCTGATCTTATTTCAATATCTCATGACATGAAATTCTGGTATATCTTCTATAACTAATATAGGCTCAGGTAACATTTAGACCCTTATATGGTTACCTTTGACCTCAATTTTCCTAATCCTGGTAAAAAATATAATTCTTGTAAATTTTGCAAAATAACGAGGGTCTAAATCTTGCTTGTAAGCGTATTTGAGACTTTTATAACCAGTTTTGTTTGACCTCCCTAATATTTTTGGGCATTATTTGTGGTATTACGGCTTTTCTAATTTCACAAAATAACTGCCTAGAACTAGTGCAAAGGCATTTTATAATAAAAAAATGCACAGTAAATACACCCTAAGTGCATCATTATCATATTTAAGTTTGGACCTCGTTTACCAGCACGTGAGAGGAATTCAGTACTAAACATCATCATCATCATCATCAGCCTATTGCAGTCCACTGCTGGACATAGGCCTCCCCTAATGCACGCCATTTCGCCCTGTTCTCGGCTTGACGCATCCATTTCCTGCCAGCAATCTTCCGCAGATCGTCACTCCATCTGGCTGGAGGGCGTCCCACACTACGTTTGCCAAGTCGTGGTCTCCACTCAAGAACTCGTTTACCCCAGCGTTTGTCGGTTCTTCGGCAGATATGTCCAGCCCACTGCCACTTCAGCTTGCTTATCCGAAGAGCTATGTCGATCACTTTAGTTCTCTGTCTGATAACCTCATTACGGAGTTTATCTTTCAGAGAAACTCCGAGCATAGCTCGTTCCATAGCTCGCTGAGCGACTTTAAACTGGTGGACTAGCCGTATCGTGAGTGTCCACGACTCAGCTCCGTACGTTAGAACTGGTAGGACGCACTGGTTGAAAACCTTTGTTTTTAAGCTCTGCGGGATGGGTGACGAAAAGACTCGACGGAGCTTCCCAAACGCTGCCCAGCCAAGCTGAATCCTCCTCCTGGCCTCCTTCTCGAAGTTATTTCTACCTAACTGCAGAATCTGCCCGAGGTAAGTGTATTCGGAAACAACTTCAAGAAGGTGGCCATTGACGCAGATGGGTCTCGGATCAATGTGGTCATTGATCATGACTTTGGTTTTATCAAAGTTCATGCCAAGACCAATCCGCCGCGAGGCGGATGCTAGGCTGTTCAGCATCTGATCCAGTTCCTCCAGCGATTCTGCCATTAGGACTATGTCATCTGCAAATCGCAAGTGTGAGATGTACTCGCCGTTTATGTTAATGCCCATCCTTTTCCAGTCCAGCGTCTTAAACATATCCTCCAATGCAGCGGTGAACAGTTTCGGGGATATGACATCCCCCTGTCTCACCCCTCTGCGTAATTGGATAGGTTCAGACTGCTGGTCCTGTACTTGGACACTCATGGTAGCAGCATCGTAAAGACATCTCAACACTTGTATATAACGATAGTCCACTTGGCACCGCTGTAAGGATTCCAGGACAGCCCAGGTTTCGACAGAGTCAAAGGCCTTCTCATAGTCCACGAAAGCTAAACACAGGGGACGATTATACTCTTCGGACTTCTGTATAATCTGCCTCACTGTGTGTATGTGGTCTATGGTGCCATATCCTCCCCGAAACCCGGCCTGTTCCGGTGGCTGAAACTCGTCGAGTCTTCTTGCGAGGCGATTCGTGATGACTCTAGAAAACAGCTTGTAGACGTGACTCAGGAGTGAGATGGGTCGGTAGTTTTTCAGTAGAGTTTTATCTCCCTTTTTAAAGAAGAGAACTACAATACTTCTGTTCCACGCCCGTGGAGTTCTCCCGCAGTGAATGACCAAGTTAAAGAGCTTCTGGAGTTCCTGGATAATAGGAACTCCTCCAGACTTCAAAAGCTCCGAAGTAACTCCGTCTTCACCGGGGGCTTTTCCATTTTTAAGCTGTTTTAGAGCCAACACGATCTCGTCTTGACTGATTTCTGGCAGGTCGTCGGTATAGTGGCGCGTCAAGGTGGCTCTCAAATCGTGATTGTCACGCTGGACCCGAGGAGCATTTACAGCGTACAAACGGCCATAGAAGTCCTCTATCTCGGCGAGTATCTGCTGCCTTGACGTAACGGTTAGGCCATCGTGCGTTGTAAGCTTCGTCAGGTGGCTCCTTCCAAGCTGCTGAGTGAATACTTTGGACCCTCGGTTTCGCTCTATCGCCTCCTCAATGAGGCGTGTATTGGAGCTCCGAAGGTCACGCCGTACCATCTTCGCAATCTGCTTGTTTAGGTATGACCTCTCTGACGAAGTGGCCTGGATGTCATCGCGTCTTTTCGTCATAAGTCACAGAGTCTCATCCGAGAGTTTAGACTTCTTTCCCGTACGCTGCAATTGACAGAATTTGATGCCCTCGCTTCTCAGCGTCCCAACCACGCCTTGTAGGGCCTCGTCAACGTCCTCGGTGGGTTCCAGCTCGACGAATCTCGCTTCGAGAAGTTCATGGAACTTCTCGGAGCCCGCCATGATCTGGAGTGGATTAGGACGGAGCGTGGACTTCATCAAGCGGCTTCTTTCAAGTTTGACATCGATATTCAGAGAGCCTCGTACAAGTCGGTGATCAGATCCGGTGCTAAACCTGTTGATCACTGAGACATCTCTGAATATGTGTCTCTTGTCCGTCAGGATGAAATCGATCTCATTTTTAGTCACAGCGTCGGGGCTTCGCCAAGTCCACTTCCTTTGAGGCTTCTTCTTGAAGAACGAATTCATCAAGAAGAGCCCCTCGTGCTCGAGGAAGTTGACTAGCGTTTGCCCCCTGTGATTCCTTACTCCATAACCATGCGGGCCGACTCGAGACTCGTCAAGATTTGGGAATCCCACTTTAGCGTTAAAGTCCCCCATAACATCGTTGAAGTGAGCCTTGGTGGTGTTGTGTAAGGCTTTCGATATGTCCTCGTACATATCTTCTACATCGTCATCCGAATGTGTCGAGGTCGGTGCGTAGGCCTGAATGATCTTCAGGCTATACCTTTTTGATAGCCGAAGGATCAGGTACGCTACCCTGTTCGACACACTGCAGATCTCTTCAACGTTGTTAGAGAGGACTCTGTTGACGAGGAATCCTATACCACCTTGGGATGTTTGATCACCCTCGCGGAAGTACAGTAGATGGCCCGAGTCTAGGGTTATGGTGTCCTCTCCCTCTCTTCGGACTTCACACAGCCCCAGAACATGCCATCTAATGTTCTCCAGTAAACATATTTTTTTATAATTATCGTGTGCACGCTTCAAAATAAAGCGTGCGTAAGCGTGCAGACCAATGCGGTCCGACCATTAATAAAAGCTTTTCACTTGACTAACATTCAAATCTTATAGATTGTGACTGTTGCGCCATTAAAAAGTACACTACTACTATGTCATAATTCATAATCCAAAATTGCTTTGTATTACAACTTTTTAGTGGCAGAAACGCTAACACGAAGAGTCTTCTAGAGATGTGTATATTGTTTTCCGCCTTTTATAAAATAAAATTAGATTTTGAAAGTAAGTGAACTGAATCACCGGCTTTCAATGTTTTTTTTTTGTCATTTTGTTAATAGACGATACAAAATGTCAATGTCAAAAATCTAACTAACCGGGATGCCTTTCGGTGGCACATTGTAGCGAGAAACTAATTGTAAAGATAAAAAATTGGTGGCTCGTTTTATTTGCTCTCAAGTGAAGTGAAGTGAAGTTCCAACTAGTTATTTTGTTTCAGATATTACCTATCGACGTTCAAAGATGCACTTCGGCAAGTGGCCATAGAAGCTATGACCGGAGAATCGAAGAGAGTGCCTCCGCAACTCAATACTATATTCCAGGATTGCACGCGCTGCGCGTCTGTCAAGGTCATCCTTTATAACGTGCGTGCATGGCTTGCTTTACCTATCTGTGTTCTTATGCATTTTTCACGATTTTATGGTCCAGTAGTCATATTAGGGAGACACTAAACTTATCGACGTCCCAGCCGAAGCGAAATGCACAAACTTTTTCACCCATATGCTTTATAATAACTGTTCAAGTGGTTGCAGATTTTACTTTATTAGTTTACAGCTTCTTATTTGTGATGTGGCGAGTGCGCCAGCACATCAAGCTACACATTCACGTATCTTGTTCCGTTGCACTGGAGGCGATTTTCGAACAAAAATGTGTAGTCTGGTGTGCCGTTGTCCGTACATCGTCATTGCGTTGTTTTTAACCGACTTCAAAAAGCGGACGAAGTTCTCAATTAGACGGTTTTTTTTTAATGTAAGTTACGCGATAAATCGGCATTTGTGAAACGATTTTGATGATCTTTTTTTTTGTTGGAAAGAGGGTACCTCAGTAGTGGTCCCATTTAAATTTGTAGAAAATATTCCATCTCTAAAGGTGGCAAACTAGGAGATGAATGACTTTTGAATTCGGTTTTTTAATACTCTGAACTGAGAGTATTATAAAATTATACGTTTTGTGTTTCATCCGCAAGTTTTGTGTTTCGTTCTCGAAAACGGTTTTGGTACAGCTAACCGCAAAAAAAGTAAATTGAAAAAAATCTAAAAACATCTTGCCGGTCACTTGCTTCGTCACTGGATTAAAACTGATGTATTACGTATATCGAGTTCTTAGGTTTTCGTATTATTACGTTATATTGTAATATCGGCAACTTTTCCATCATACTTTACAATTTGTCGTAAGACAAAATTACATGTCTCTTTCTTTGAATTGCTTATTTTGACATGACCGTCATGTGCATGGCAAATGACACGGTATGATACGATTTTGCTATGAAAGAAAAGGTGAACGGATTTCGGATGGGGAACGTATACTGCATGGACAGTGAATTGTTTTTGTGAGGTCATAGTACGAATTTGACAGGCTATCCAACTTACGGGCGTAAACAGGATTCCTATAAAAGCTCGTAGTAGGCCCCCTGATTGTTATTAACCATAATCTCATATTTCTTCACAATATTTTGAACAATAAGATAAACTGCAATATAGTCTGTCTTTTTTAAAGACAGAGTAAAATGACATTTAGTTATGTAGTTGTTGTCGATAGATTGGGAAAGAACATAAAAATTTGCCAAAAATGACTGAAATAAGCAACTAAAGAAATGTTAGCAGTCCTGATTTAGATATATTTAGTGATAATATAGGTCCCTTCGAAAAAAAATGAACTAAAAAGAAATTATTAATTAAATTCCTATAGTATTCTCAGTGTATTGCTATCTAGTTTAAATTATTTATGTAGGTTAATTTGTCAAAAATTTCTTGTTAATTTAGTTTGTGTTTGTTGTTTTGAGATTGCCGTCAACACTTGTAATTGTTGTGTTTACAATGTAGAACTCCCAAGTCAAATAAGATAAAAATGTGTTGTGAACATAATGCTAGTGTTGCTAATAAACATCGAATATATAACCAGAAATAGAGACGAAATGTCATTTAATTTGTTTGAAAACTATTTTGCCATATCATTAATATGACAACTGCGCTCCAATTGGCCAGCTCGAATTCGAAACAATTCACGGGTGTCGTCAATAGATGTCATCTATTGTTTCACTTCAAAACGACCAGTTAACTTGAGCTTTTCTATAATGGACGAAAATTGCAAAATTACATATTTAATATTTAGTTACCGATTAAATTTGATTCCGTTTGATCTGTAATTAGATGTTTTGCTATTTTTTCCCTACAACAGCGAACAGAACGCCGTTGTTAGAGATATTATCTTTATTACAATAAATACAGAATGTTTTTGGAATATACGGTGACGTACACACAGGTCAGTTGTTGGCGGCTGTCTATATTTCAGTGCAAACGATAGTTGATATCTATCATTGATGTATCACTCATGAGGTACCAGGAATGTATGGCCCTTATCTCTATTTCTGGTTATATATACTCGATGCTAATAAATAAATAGGCCTTTATAATGATGTTAACTTTTCGATATAATCCGACAGGAGTCGAACGCGTCAACCGATACAGAAGCGATGGCACAACACGTCAAGGGTCTCATTGACGACTGTAAGAAGCTGCTGGTCGATACGGAACCCGTGCTCGGATCGTGGGGGCTCATTGATGCTGATCCAAAGTAAGTTTAATATAGTTATTTTGTAGTAGTTCGCGAGTCAGAAATGAAATATAATGCCTTAGTCCATTGTTTAGCCTAATAGGCTACAATAGTGTTAATTAGAAAGCTTTATACATAACGGGTATGTTTTCTAATTGGTTAATTATTAACCGACCTCAAAAAATGGGGAGGTTCTCAATTCGACAGTTTTTTTGTTATGTTACGCGATTTTAATGTTTGTTTTTTGTTGGAAAGAGGGTACCTCAATATTGGTACCATTTAAATTTGAAGAAAATATTCCACCTCTAATAGATGTAACGTTCCACGAACTTTTGACGTCGGTTTTTTTATTATTTTTTTTATAAAACGGTTCGACTTCAGTTTCACCTGTAGATACAGTGAGTGAGATTTGTCGGATAGAGAGTGACAATGGCAACGACACAAAATTAAAGAAATCGTCGCCAGCGAAAGCAGGTAGACAGATATATCTGGTCTTAATGTTATCTACCGCTTGCCAGGTAACCGGTGAGAACGGAGCGTGTAAGGTTCATTTAAATTGCCGCGGAGTGGAATGGAACGGAAGCGTCAATTTCGCCTCGAGCATATTCGCTAACTTTCTCGCGTCTGCGCTTTGAGGCTGTAGTATTTCGTCGATATTTGACGTCACACTGCGCCTACTCTCGCGCCACTTCTATCTCACTCGTATCTAGTTTGTACGTTCCACAATTAACATAATGTTCATTTTGCTATGTACAATTTCGTTACTAAAATTCGCTTCCATTCCTTTCCGCCGCAATGTAAATTGAGCCTAACCGTTCCGAAATATCGGAAAAACAAAAAGAAATCATTTCGTGTTAAGAAACCTTCAATTATTGGTAATTATTTAGTTAACATTTGTCTTAAAAATGTACATGACATTTTCTGCTAGCACCGGCGATCCGCAAGAGACCGAAATGGACACTGTCCTCCTGTTAACAAGCGATGCGTACTACGTGGCTGACTACGACGAGACCTCGGACCGCATACTGTCCGTGCAACGGGTGCCGCTTCGTGACGTCACCGCAGTGGAGTTGGGCACCCTTGATGTCCCCACTACGGTAAGTTATTCATGTCACACCTCTGAGCTTAGTAGACAGAGATCAGGTAGTGCCACTAGCTGTCATGCTGCCATACTTTCGCATACTCCATTCTTATACCTATTACGCATTTTCTCTCACTCTGCGAAAATTTTACCACCTTGATGTACCCATTTCCGAAGCTAAGGATTTTTGAAGGAATCTTTTCACGAGAAATGTTTATGACTTTAGTTGCGCTTAGAAAGAAACAAACAAAGAAGAAAATACATTTATTTAAAAAGAAAAATAAAAAATGTAGAATCGTTAGTAGTGGTTCCGCGGAATAATACTCGCACAAATCGACACAATCTTTATTTTTTGGTCGTCTTCTGTTATTTTTGTAAACAGCCATATTTATTTGCCTTAGTAAATAAATATGGCGGTTTAATATAAATATAATCTTATCCCTCCCCGAATTCTGTGAAAAAAAGAAAAAAGAACAAAAAAAAAACGAATTTTGTAAAAAAAAAAAGAAAAAAACCAAATAAAAACAGAACAGGTCCAAAAATTAAGTTGGCTTAGTGTTCATTGGAGGTATCGAAATATTATTCGCAGTTTATTCCATCACGGGAACAACACAGGGATTACACAAGCACAGAAGGAAGATAAAGAGTTTTAAGCAGAAGGATCATATATGAAATATTAGACACAAATTAGTATGGATAGCAATAGTTCGCAAAATAAATAAAATAGCGTGGTAGCCGATATTTCTGAGCGTGCGACACGCATTCCACTCGCATGCAAAGATGCGACTCTCCTACGTCATGCCACTGTCGTGCTCGGTCCGCCCGTCGCTATTGTTCGCAGCAACCGGTCCATCATGCTGCTGGCCGGTGGATGCGCACAAATATCGTATAACAAAACACAATGCGCTTGTCCGTATCTATCGCGCGCTTATTCGTATATTATTAGTATACAGATACTACATCTATTACACATATTTTATATATTTTCTTTACACATTTAAAGTACTGTTACATGTATATATTATGTTTATAATTATGTATTATATGAGGCTATATAAATTATTTATCTTACACATTAAACAGCTATATTTTAATAGCATGTATATAAATATAAACAGTAAGTAGAAATATGCACTTATATAATTAATGATATATAATTATATTTATCTACATTAATGTAGTCACCCTACAAAATGTTTGATTATATTATTCATAAAATGTATGCGCAGGGATGATGGAAAAAATACTACATGTAAAAAATATTCAACTCAAACCACAAATTATTTAATTTTAAATAAATTGGGTCTAAAAAACATATTTTAATTACCTCGACGTTTCGGACGTATTGCAATGTCCCTGGTCTCAATGGGACTGAAGAGGAGGGTGTCGCAGGATGTCGTGTGTGTTGTGGGTCGGTCTAGTTACAACCTTAATACACAAATAAATAATGAATACCAAGTACGAGTAGTTAGGAAACTCGCACGATTAGAAGATGTTGACACCCGCCTCTTCAGTCCTTTCGAGACCATGGACGTTTCAATACGTCCGAAACTTCGAGGTAATAAAAATATGTTTTATACATGATTAAGTCCCGAATCAAAATTAAATAATGTGTGAAAATCGTGAAAGTTTAAAACTAACCATAAACACAGTATTTTGCACGATTTTATCTTTGCATTGCACTTATGTAAACCACTTTAGTATGATACACTGAAACTATAGGTGCCACTATTATGTACCATGATTTATGTAATTGTAATTTAATTTTTGATTACTTGAATTAATCTTATTTAATTTATTTGGACATTATTTAAAATTTCATTGATGTAACTTCAAACATAATTAACGTAACCAATATATAATATAATTAGTAATGTGATGTAATTCTATATATTAGTATAATTATGTTGTCTTATATGAATAAATGAGTTTGAATTTGACTGGACTCGTGGAGTACCAATATAATTTACTTCCATTTTTATTTTCATTGCAAATTTTTTCACTACACGCGTAAACTTACACGTGTGTTTTTCAGAATCCTGCTGTCATATAATGTTATTTCAGCTATTCGGCGTGAGCCGCAAAAGCGGCGTAGAGCCCGTAGTGTGCATACGTCTCAACTACTTGTACAAGGGCGAGTCGGGGTACTTCCACATGTTCCGTTCCACATCGCTGCGGTTTTTTAACAACATGGCCGTCGTTATTAACACCAAAGACGAGATGATAGGTAAGTACCTCCTAATAACATAGAAGAAATAATACTTGCGTGTTCAAAAGAGTAGAGACCAGACAACATTATCTGGGATAAAAATTTTAATTTGTCTTCTAGTGACTAATGAAGGCAAACCAACGCTGGAAGGGATTGCCTAACACGCCAATTGACATGCGAAATAGCTACTTATACTCTTATCGCATGCTAGAAACGAAATGACGTAATAATAATTTTAATACTATATAATATAACCTTTCGAACTGCACATATAACTCATCCGAAGATCAGAGTCCGATGCGATTATACAACGAAAATAGGATAAAACATAATCTCATTATTCAAATGGTCTATCGAAAGGTGTTTTCAGATTTTTTTATGTAAAATCGAACCAGTCGATTTTCACTGTGTCCACAGCCAAGAACAACAAACGAAATGTGCAATGTCCTGAGAATAAGCAGCATCTTGCACATAGATCTTTATTCTACGGATGAGTAGAATATAATATGTTTTTAATAGCAGTAGAGCTCATTGTGAAAGATTTTTTTTTGTGTAGTACTGGTGAGGAAGTTGTGAGTGTATTTAGGAGTAATGATTTGGTGAAGAACAGTGTTTACTTAAAATATTTTTTTTTACAATAAATAAAAGTCGGTAAGAGATTGTGATGGTCATTGAATTGCAAATTCAATCATAGTAATGGAATGAAGAAGATAAATCAGATGTTATAAAAAAAAAAAAATAAAGTAAAAATCGTTTATTTATCCTTCCACAAATATTACTTAAAAAGAGATATTAAATCTAAGGTAACAATTTCAAAACAAATTACATTTGTGGAAAGCTGGAGCCTAAACTAAATCTATGATTTGTATTTTAGGTTTCCAGACCTCCCAACTCAGAGTCAGTTAATTACATTTATTGTTCGGTAATATGTAGAACTTGTAGAGAAGAAGATACGCATGAGTGTATGTGTGTGTGTGTGTGTGTGTGTGTGTGTGTGTGTGTGAGAGAGAGAGAGTGTGTGTGTGTTGTGTGTATGTATGTGTGTGTATGTTCACTTTAATTTATGATTTCAATGAATTTCTCTGTGTTGTCATAGCTTAGTGTTAGTAAATATGTGTTGATTTTATTTTTTAATTCATATTTAGATAAATTTATTATATGTAGTTTTTTATTTAATAAATTGTATACTCTGCCAGATCGAAAACGCAAAAATCTTTGAGCAAATGTTGTTCTGACTGGAACTGAAATACAGACGGAGTAGTGTCTTCTCTTTTGGTTCACACTATCGTGGTTTTGTGGAGGTGTTTGAGATATAAGGTACAATTGAATGCATAAATGTTTCAAATTTGTGAAAGAGTTCGTACAGGGTATTACAGGGTATATTATGCTATCTTAACAATTTCTGTCGCCAAACAGGAATGAGAGTATTACTGCATTCTAATTTTGATGGATACGGGTGCTGGTAAAATTACGGGCACATGGGACTTGTTATGTCTCAGGGTGACAGTGCCTCTCAGATTTTTGCGATTTAAAGCTCTGAGCGGCACTGCAACTGTTATGAACAGGCGTGTGGCTTACCACCACACGACTTGTTCGGTCCGTCACTTTGATATTTAAAAAAAAATCATACTTTAGGCAAATGATCTCCTTCAATTCCGATCAATGGTTGTAAGAAACTTGATCATAAGGTGCACGTAATACCGGTATTTTAGGAATTATTAGTCTTTAAGATCCTATTTCTCACGACCAGCAAAGCGTTGGCAGTGACTGTTGGAATCTGTGACCGTTGCAAACCAATATCTGTATAAAAGTTCAACTTTGCCTTTACAGAATCCTTACACTCCATTTGTGAGTCAATTGTGGTGGCGCGAGACGTCGCCAATCTGCCGCCGATTCCCTTCAACGAAGGCGGGAAACTCGACCGGAGGAAATCTAAGGTACTTTTAATATTGGAATTCCCCCTTTTTTATTGCGATTAATATGAATTCTTGTGCTGGTATGGATCATTAAGAGCCAATCAAAAGGAAATGTCTATAGTCTTGTCTAGTCTAAGGGTCCACTGAAAACCAGCGCTGTGGCCCTGCCGCAGTATTAGCTGAGTTGGGTCCTTTTCAGTGCAATAATAACTAATAATAATAACACTTTTAATATTAATTATTAATATTGTACTTTGTACTCCACGTGTATTGTGCTGAATAAATTACTTTTCTTTCTTTCTTTTCTTTCTTTCTTGTCTTTTTGGAAGATGGAGTAAAATTACATTTGCAGGGTTGTCAGTTTAAAATTTTAAATAGGCGTGTAGTTGTTGTCGACAGTTTTATCGATAGATTGTAAAAGAAGGTAAAATATTGCCAAAAATGTTTGAATTGTGAATGTTACGACGACGACGTTTTTAGTAGCAGTAGAGCTCCTTGTGAAAGAGTTCGTCCAGTGTAGTGCCACCTTACTTATTTCTGCCGCCAAGCAGTAATCTCAGCATTACTGTGTTCCGGTTTTGAAGGGCAAGGGTGCTGATGAAATTACAGGCACATGGGACTTGTCAACTTATGTCTCAGGGTCACGGGCGCAGTGTTAGTTGTCTTCAGATCTTTGCATTTTAAAGCTCTAAGCGGCACTGTAATTGTTATTTACAGATACATATGTAGCTCACCATCAGGCACACGACTTATTCGTCCCATCACTTGATGTTATAAAAATAAATTGTAATTGCGTTATTGCCTTCTTCATTTTTATTTTGAATGTTGACCTATTGAAATCGAAGTCAATTTTATTCATATACATTTTAACAAGAACAGGCGGATTTGATTATCTATACTGAATTATAATGGAAAACTTTAAAATATGTCTCTTCTTTGTATATTTATAGTCTGTCTTTTTTGAAGATGGATTAACATGATAGTTCATAGCGCTATAGTGTTGCCCGCTTGCAAACAGCTAGTGACTGTAGTCGATAAATATTCTATCGACTATCGACTGAATGTTGGGCACGCTTATGCAATAAATAGCCGAACTTGTTTCATTTGAATCATCAACGACCCATTATTCGTCCAACTGCTTGGTACAGGTTCACTTAAATTGTCATTTTTTTATAATGTCATACATACATACCCTGCATTTAGAACTATGTCCATTAAAAATATAATGAGGACACGTATTTTAAAGTTTTTCATTTTAATTGAATATAGATAATGAAATTCACCTGTTTTTATTAAAATGTATATTATTGTGTATAATCAATCAGTTCTGGAAGGCTGACTGTCAAAATAACAATAAAGAAGGCAAGAACGCAATTAATAATCATTAGAAAGTCGTTACATTCAGAATTCAGATATTTTTGGCAAAATTTTGCTTTCTTTCTCAATCCATCGATAAAACTGTCGACAAAAACTACATGACTATTTAAAATTTTATAAAAATTGGCAACCCTGCAAGTGTCTTTTTACTCCGTCTTCAAAAAAGGCAGACTAAAATAGATGTTGTTCTGAATACAGTGTATGTATGTATGAAGTTACAAAAATTGACGCCTAAATTTATGTTACGGCCATGCTACGGGGGCTGGTCGATTTATAAATAAATTTTAGTTTTTAAAGCTTGATTTAATAGTTAGTTATGTTTATTTGTAGGTCAATGGTCATATTAGTAAATGTTTCTGTAGATTATTGAATGTTTTTATTGCCTTTTTCGTAATATTTTTTATTCAAAAATTATGCCTTTTAAATTATCCTGATTTCGATGGTAGCTGAATTAGGTGGATCAAATATGGCATTAATTGTTAAGGATCTAGTTTCCCAAATAACGGAATTTTATGTAAGTTTGAGTTCGTTTTCCTTTCTTGAAATTAAAAAAAAAATCGACCACCAAAGTCAAAGAATTTATGCCCTCATGTTGTTACAACCCGTATGCCAGACGATATTTCATATAAAATAGTCATTGGTTTGATAATTTCATATAATTAATCAATCGGTAACATATAAGTCATTGTAGCGAGACTACAATAAACGATGCGTTATGGTTAAGGTATTTACTATTTAGTAGTATAAACAAACTCTCTAGAATGGGTTTACGTTTAACAACGTGCATCCCGACTGCATGTTTGTTCAGAAGTGATAATTATCGTGATAATATTTCGATAGCTATCGTCATGTTAACTAATCCGGTAATTATCAAATCAAATAATTTTATTTCGAAAATAATTTTATTTGATAATGTTGAAATAAAATATTTGTAAATTAATCTTGATAATTTCGGCATTATATAAACGGTTCCTTTACACTTGCGAGATGCCGCCTGAATGCATATCGCATGACTACACCCTAAATTGTGGCGTTGCTTAAATTGAGCGAAGAGTAATTAATATAATCATAATTACGCAAGCTTAGGCGTATACACTTAAGTTCTAGTAAGTTACAAAGAAATATATTCTAGACAAAGGATAGAAGGCAGTAAATGTAAAAAGGATAAATCAGATAATTTGAAATTTTGGATACTTCTGTCGCATTAATGGACGCATTCTAACCATCAGGTGCACCCAGTTCAAGGTCAGTCAAGCACTGGCAAATCATCACTCTACTTGGATCTATCCCGTCTGCCAACCCTGACCAAGAACGTCAGTGAAACCCAGTTGGTCGCTGACATACGCAGTGTTGGTGAGTACCACAGGAAACTTTTTTTTTTTAGAGAATTTGCAAATAAACTTTATTTTTCATAATTATTCCGTAATTTTAAGCAATCAAAAAATCAAACATTGTTCTATTGACATTGTATACACCTTTATCAATCATGCATCATCAATTTAGACATCCAACTTTCGATGTTATTTGTATGCGTGACGGAGGAATTGAATAGTGTTGAATGGTAAAATACAATAGAATTTTATTTTTTTTCGGATTTGAATCGCATGTTTTTTTTATAATATCAAGTCATAAGACGGAAAAGTCGTGCACCTTATGGTAAGCTACACGCATCTCCATAATAGTTGCAGCCACTCAGAACTTTAAATCGCAAAGACTGCGACTGCGCACACTGCCACTGCGCACGTCACTCTGAGACATAAGTTGACAATTCTCATGTGCCCGTAATTTCACCAGCGGCCTTATTCTTCAAAACCGGAACACAGTAATGCTAACATAGCGCAGGTCGCTGGCTGTACGGTGTAATATGTTGGCTCGCAGATTTGCACTAAACAGGTAAAAATTACACTACTTAAAGCTTACTGTCAAGTGCTGTACACGTGCAGTCTGTGGGTCGCGTATTCGAGGCGGTCATTCAGCGACCTGCGTGTTCAAAATAATAACGCATTCAGGGTGCTTATGGGGCTACCGTGGAAGTGTAGTGCTTCGGGGGTATTTGCCGAGGCTCAGATGGATGGATTCATGGCCATCGTAAGGAAAATGTGTGCATCCGCCCTAAGGCGCCTCCGCGAGGCTCCAACAGCATCGTGTGTGTGTTCACAGATCGGTGTGACTCGCCACTTCTGCGTACATGCATTGACCTCCACACCGTCATTTACTTGTATTGTCATTTTAAATTATATAAAATTAATAAAATAAATAAATAAAATAAAATAAAAATAAAATGCATTTAATTCGGACAACAGTGGATCCATAGAATGTTAGTATTACAAACAAACTTATATAACTATGTTAGTACGAAAACTTAAATGAAGGGAGGACCAGTGTCTAAATAGACCGCTGTCCCACCTATCAGCTACTCCATTCAGGAGTCTGTGACGGCTAGCGCATACCCTACGCATCGATGCGGCGCAGCGCTTGCGCAATGTCGCACCAAAACCGTCTACACTCGCGTCCGCAAACATTCCGGACGATTAATTATACTAACACTACATTTTAAGTTATTTTGTTTAAAACACTAAAGATTTTTATCTGAAATAAATAAATTTGAATGAATTTGAATTACTGCTTGGCGGTAGAAATAGGTAAGGTGGCAGTACTTCCCTGGACGAACTCTTTCACATGGAGCTCTACTGCTAGTATTTATTTTTTATTATATATTTTTATTTATTTTATTTTACTATATATCTTTCTTTATTTATCACGCATAAATATTTGTTTTTTCAAACAAACGGTCAGCCGTGACCATGGGACCTGTTAATATAGAATAGTATAGACATTTAATGCAACGCCACAAGACATACATAAAAAAATAACACTTAGACATGCAAAACAAAAATAAAAAGAATTAATAAAAAAAATACAAAAAACAACATTTAATAAGACAAAACGGACAAAAAGCAAAAAAAACTAAACATAACGACTACAAATGTTGTACTATACAGTACAGTACGCGGTTTAAACCCGAAATACTTTCATATCCAGCTTTTCGACTAAAGAGCATGCAAAGATTAAGGTCGTATACTAGAACTCTACTCAATGCTCAAGTCAGGACTTGAGTATGATTCCAAGCACTAGAAATCATACTCAAGTCCTTGCCATTAGGGTAATACGACCCTAAGTCCATTGCAAGTCCAGTGCTTGAAATCATACTCAAGTCTGCTCAAATCCTGACTTGAGCATTGAGTACAGTTCTGGAATACGACCCTAAGTGAGTGTTCGATACATTGTAATAAACACACCTTTAGCGGAACAAAACAGTAAGAATATAAAATAGTAACGTTTATATTTAAATAAGTAAGAATTAGATATAAAGTAGCAATTAACATTTTTTAACGTTGACTTATTAATCCTTTCACTCACCCTTTCTTGAAAAAACAAATTAAGGTGAATGCATTTTTTTAAATTTGTGGTAAAAACGGCTGAAAATTTAAAAATTGTAACAGTTTAACATTAATTAAAACATTATTTAATAAATAAAAAACTTTTTTAACTAAAGTTTACCAAAATTTACAAAAACGCAAAACAAACCTCAAACATCTCGACAAAACTATGTTAGTGGGATATTAAAAGTAATGAAATGAATGAAAAAATGACTGACAATTTTCTTTATTTTCAATATAGACCTAAGTCAAAAAAGTATAGTAACTGGCCACATTTTTGAAAAAAAAATACTGCTTTTGGAGATTTTACTAGTGTTCCACTAAACGTGCCGGTGTGTGTAGCAGCGGTAGGTCAATTGCTCCCTATCCAGAAACGACTCTATGCCCACCACATCTCTCTTACTTTACCTCAGCACTATGGCCTAAAGCAAGTATTCCAACGGTACTGCTCATTGGCGAGCAGCCGTATTTTTTTTTGTAAATGGCCTATTAGTGACATAGGAGAATGGGCATTTATCTGAGAGTACGATGACTAGCGCACGAGTCCCGCGTATCGGCGGGTGCGTCCCTGAGCGCCACGGGTGCCGTGCTCAGCCAACTGCTGCGCCTGCGCCGGTCGACAGGCGCGTCGGGGTCGCCGCAATGTCGCTTCGTCACCGTCACCGCGGGCCTGCGCATGCCCACTCGCTCCGTCAGTCTGCAAACCACTTTGCACTTATATGTTAGTTTTGCACACTTTAGGCCGTCGTAAAACCTCCTAAGACCCCGTGGACATCAAAATGTACAAAATATGTGAAGTGATTCAAACCCCGACAATATTATTCCTGTGATCACGTAAACTTCCAGTGCACATTATGATAAAAATATTGCATTCAAATTTAGCGTTATGTATTCTATATGATCATGAGGTATCCAGAAAATTTTTAACATTTTAGTTAATAAAATTTAGTACATTTTAATGTACATAGGGCGTTGAACGCTTTTCCCATTGTATTTTGCTGGGTCCTAGGAGGGTAAAGTTAACTCATGGTAATCTTAACGGCGTATTTTGGGCAGTCACTAAAATCGTCGTGGTAGTGTAGGCCTTTGTTACTTACGTTTGTTGTCCGTTGGCGTATTTTAGAACTTGGTAATTTTAATTAATTATAGGATCAAGAAATGTCTACTACATTTGTACAGTCGTGTAGATTACTTTGTTGTACTATTAAAATGGCAAAATCATTGTGGCCTATCTCGTGGCGTAATTTACACCTAACGGTTAACTTGTTCGCATAATTCGTTTCAGAATTTCATATTGTCACTATTACACATCGAGTACATAACCAGAAATGGAGACGAAATAAGGGTCATCCATCCCTGGTAACTCTTCAGTCAAACGGTACTGATATCACTTTTTGAATTCACTTTTATCATTTTTAAAATATCAACTCTCATTTGCGCTGAAATCACAAATTAGAAAGCTGAATCACAGCGCCAACTACTGACCTGTGTGTACGTCTTCGTATATCCCAAAAGTATTCTGTATTTGTTGTAATAAATATAATATTTTCCATTCGGTGGTGTGGGAAAAACAGCAAAACATCTAATTGCCAAAAAAAACGGAATCACACTTTGTCGGTAATTAAATATTAAATTATGTAATTTTTAAACTTTAGACCATTATAGTAAAGCTCAAGTTAAACTGGTCGATTTGAAGGGAAACAATTGACGGCACCCGTAACTTGTTTCGAATTCGGGCTGGCCAATCGGAGCGCAGTTGTCACAGTAATGATTTGGCAGAATAGTTTTCAAAGAAATTAAATGACATTTCGTTTCTATTTCTGGTTATATACTCGATGCTATTAAAGTACAAGTACCATTAGTGTTGTAAGGGACGATATTATAAGTTGTGATTTTTGCCTTCATTTCATTGATCTATGTTTATCTCATTCATTTATTCTAAATTTATGATTAGTTCTTGGGCATTCGTAACAATTATTCTTACTGGTACGTAAAAAAGGGTTTCAACCTGTTGGTGTTCAAAGTATTTTTTATGATATCAAATGACTGGATGAAGAAGTCGCCGTTGGTACACGACACGTCTGTGTATAGCAGTTGTAGCGCCACTCAAAGCTTTAAATCTCAAAGAACTGACGAGCACTGACACTGCACCTCAGCCTGAGGCAGAAAGTTGATGAGTTGATGAGCCTATAGTTTCACCAGCACCCTTCAATTCTGTTTACTACCGCCACCATACATATGTGTAGTGGTAGTATCTCCTGGACGAACTCTTTCACAAGAAGCTGTATTGCTACTAAAATTATATTTTTAATTTTGAAGTTTATTGAATATCACCATATATGACCACCATGATATTCAATTATCTTCTGAAATTACCCCGCTAGGTTGTTATAACTATTATAAGGTTGAAAGAAGAAATAGATTTCTCACAGATGGCGCTACGGCAAAAAGCCGTTAAAAACCAAAAACAACGATCTGCAACAAGCACACAGAAAAATTCGTAAGGTCCGGTAGTTCGTTCCGTGGCTTAGTGCCAACTGAGCCACGGAACGAACCGTCTGACACGGTTCGCTGTAAGACGTTGGTTCGTGTCCAACCGAATCGAAAGATTTTTTTGTAAATGTTCGATATTTAATAATTATGTATTTTTTTAAATTGTATATTTCATAAAATTCCAGGATCAAAAGCCCTGAACAACATGAGCGAGCAATTTAGTAAATTAAACAAACTGAGCCATTCACTGAACGCGCGCGCACGCCCCAGCCTGCAACTCAAATTCGATCAGAGTGCATCCCGGACTAAGAAGATCTTCACCCTCGGCAACAAATCAGATAAAAAGAAAGGTTCTCTATCAGACGGGATGAGCTCGGACTATTCATCCGATGATGAAAACAGAACAAATATTTTCGAACCAACGTTAGACAACTACGAAAATACGCAACATTACATCGGTCAGAAACCAAAAGAAAAAGATGATGATTGTGAACTAATCGAAAATCCTTTGTATTCTTCCAAAATAGAACCGAGTGAAACTTCAGAGATTGAACCAAAACAATCGTCAGCTTTTGCAACTACTTCAGAAAAACAGACATTAAAAACTCCAAGCAACATTAACAAGAGAAACCCCTTTGACACTGAAAGCAAAACACCTGAAATTCAAGTAGAATCGGCATCTGGTTTCACTAAACCTCTGCCACCAAATTCATTGTTGCTATCACAGAAACTATCTCACAGTTCCAATGATATAAATTACGATGACAATATAGTACAGGGGGAAGGGGTCAGTGGCCACGTTCGTTCGAACTCTCAGCATGAAATTACTTTGAACATCGCCCAGTCGCATAGCGAATCTGCATTGAAGCAGCTAAGGAACATCGCCAGCCCAATGTCGAGTGCTACAAAAGATATGGTCTTGTCACCTTTCTCTAAGTTGGCCAAAGGTGTGCAATCGCTTGGAGCTAATTTGGATCCTAGAAAGATCAAGGTAAGTTTGGTCCATTTATGTCCCACTTTCCTGGGGGATGGCCCCCTCTTAAAAAAAACTAAGCGTTCCCCATCGATACCCCCGTAAAAAGATAGTTGCTCTTCTGTCACCACCACACAGGAGAACTAAGTTGGGTCTCAACTCACCGATCAGCCATCTGTCCAGACTACACAATGAGTATAGTGCAACAGTAGATATTTTCTCGGACTCGATAACCGGTCTCCGCAAGGCAATCCTTAGCAAGTAAACTAGCAGTATTCGTAGCATTAATTGCAAAAATTTATATTACACTAAACCTTTACATTTAGGATGTATATTTTTTATTCGATTGTCATATTTTATCGTTGTATTCAGTTTATTCTTTTTTCTTTGTATAATACACTGTTATATTAAGGGTCGTATTCTAGAACTCTACTCAATGCTCAAGTCAGGATTGCAATTGAAACACAAGCACTGGAAATACGACCCTAATGGCAGGGACTTGAGTAAGATTTCGAGTGCTTTAAACCATACTCAAATCCTGACTTGAGCATTGAGTAGAGTTCTGGAATGCGACCCTAAGACTGAAAGGGTTGTAACCCTAACAACCGTGATCAGGATCACGGCAGTAAAACAGGAAACTTCCGGTCCACAAATTTATTTAACGTGAAGTAAAAGGCAAAGTAAAAAAAAATTGTAAGAAATAAAAGGTAGATGTACAAAACAGTACATTAATAAAAAATACTCCCTAACTACTACTACTCCCTAACAAGATTTAAGCACTTACCCCTTATCGGGTTTTATTATGTTGAATTACAGATATTGGATAGACTTATTCGCTCATTATGGTCGATAGATGATTTACATTGATTGTATTATGATTAAACTTAAAAAGAATAAAAAATTAGACAATTTGATTTAGTAGTTCTGTCCGCTATCGCGGTCAAGCAGAGAGTGACCGTGGTACGAAGCAAAAATGAGAAAGCGAAGGAAGATGGAACAATTTAAATTTAAAATTTAAATATGAGTAGAAGAAGAAAAAACTATACGATACGAAAGGAGAGAGGCGATACAAAAAGGTGGGATGACGGTGTAAAGAGGTCACACCGTCACAAGACTTTGCTGTGTTTCACCTTTAAATAGTTGTGCGTCTAGCTAAACACCCTTACCATTCCAAAACGTACATGTATCGATGTAACAATTGCTGATGAACCTCAATAAATAAATAAATAAATAAAAATATTACTTTAACCTTACGTTAACTTTTCTAACCATGACGCGGTTAAAGTAACCTTATAATATAACTATGATTGGCTGCTTTGTGACTATTCATTCGCCGAAATCGTACTATGAAGCGACATTGACATTAAAGTAATATTGTTCTTATTTTATTTTCGAATTTATTGTCTATATACTGATTGGTGACGATTAAGAGTTAAGTTTAACTTATTAATTTACATCTTCAATATTTTGTTTATTTTTTATTTAATAGTATATGGCAATAATTTCTCGTTATATAAAAAGACGCGATGTTTATTTCGTAAAATTATGACAGCGACACTCACAGTTGATACTAGACTATAATTCCGAATTCACAATGCGACATTCAAGGCTCAGTTTCTTTTGTTTATGTTTCTTCATGAAAATGAATTCAATAAGCAACTCCTCTGACAGCATGAGCTGAAAATGCTTTAGTTTATTCTGATTCAATTTTGTATAATAACATACACGTTTTAGATACAGTGCAGAAGAAGAAAAGTGCCAGCTATTATGTTTTTTTTTCTAATATCCTCAATCGAGTAAAGACATAGACAAAATATCGATTAAAACATTTAAATTGTTTAAAGATTCGTCACAACTTTTAATAGTTGGCGGTGAAGGAGATTGATTTTTTGTTTTTGTTTGTTTAATGTAGTGTCTAGGCTAAACCCTATCCGCTAGTTTTTAAATTATTTTAAACAGGCTTTTCATTATGGTCACTAGATGGCGCCTACAGAACGACTTTGATTACGAATGCTTCGTAACCAGTTACTTAAGACGGTTTTAAATAGAATACGTGTCGGACCGTCAAAGAACACAATCATACGTCGAAAATACTTAAATTCATAGGAAACAGTTAAATCTCCTTACTACCAATATAAAAATTATAGTCTGTCTTTTTTGAAGACGGAATAAAATGACAGTACATTGCGCAAAGGTGTTGCCCACTTGCGAGCAGCTAGTGATTGCAGTCGATAAATATTCTATCGACTATCGACTGAATATTGGTCACGCTTATGGAATAAATAGCCGAACTTGTTTCAATTGAATCATCCTCGACCCATTATTCATCCAATTACTGAGCACAAGCTCATTTGAATTGTCAATTTTTGTAAGTTCATAGTATATTTAGAACTATGTTTACCAAAAATCCAAGGAGGACACATATTTTAAAGATTTTCATTTTGATTCAATGTAAATAATCAAATCCGGCTATTCTTGTTGAAATGTATATGCATATAAACTGATCTCGATACTACTACTAGGCCAACTGTCAAAATAAGAATAACTTAATAATCATTAGTATGTCTTAACATTCTCATTTTTGGCAAAATTTTATCCTCTTTCACAATCTATCGATAAAACTATCGACTACAACTACATAATTATGTAAAATTTAATGAAAACTGGCAACCCTGCAAACGTCATTTTACTCCGCCTTCAAAAAATTCAGAATATAGAAGTTGTAAATACAGAAGCGGATACATTTCTCCACTCCCCTCCTCTCTCCACGTCGTATTTCAAGCGCGGTGTACTTTAAACAGTTAGAATAGTGCCTCTAAGCATTGAACCACGTTATTATTTGTTCGTTTCACAGGGCTCAACAACATCAGTGAAAAATATAACAGAACAGCAATATGAAGAACACAGAAAATTGCAAGAAAAATGGCGTGACTGCAACACTCGACTTATTGCGCTATAAACTATGTTGCCAGGTGATGTCTTTCCATTCCTACTATTTATCAAACCCAGTGTTGCTATTTGCCAACAAAAAAAATGTTGTGAATGTAATAAGGGTCGACTCTGTACCTAATTTTAAATATTAAAATTATTGCCATGATTTTAAATTTCCATTAGTATAAATGTGACGCTAATAGAGTGATGAGTATGTCAGAATCGACCCTAAATTGGTAATCAATTTGCTTATAAATATTTACTTATAAAGAAAACATCACATTATTTATTAATTCGTATATTGAACGTATTAGCTTAGAAAAATCCAAAAAAGAAAAAGATTGTAATTTGTTTTAAAATTGCAATAAATACAATCTTTTTTTCCATAAATTTTCGCCTAAATAAAAAAGTGATAAAAAGAAAAAAGAACATTATCTTAATACTTATATGGCCACTGCAAATATTCTCAAACAGAGTGTTGCCGTGTCAATAAAAAAGTACAACCTCACAGTAACCTAGTGATAGTAAAATTATAAAAATTCAAATCCTAAGTATTAATAAAAATATAAACCTATAAATATGTAATTATATGTGACATTCCACTATAAATTATAATAGTAAATTTATTAAAATCGCCCGGAATCTCATAAAACATTCGATCTTGTCTTTCATTTCATTATTAAAGGCTAGCAACTTTGTATCTCAGAATGAAGTCCATAGCATGAACAATATAACAGAAATTACCTATACATACTACCAAATTGTATAACAAATTGCAATGCTGTCTCACGACTGCACAGCGGCTGCATCCGCTGTATTACAATTGCTTTTTAACATTTGTCATGCTGTCGAATTGTATTTAGAATACACTGCAAAATATAAGATTTACTTTAAAATTGTGCAGCACAAAAAATCTTAATGCCAAAAAATTACAACCAAGACCGAAGCTTTTATTTCAATAATAAATCCATCCATTAGGAGGAAAAGATCCTTTACCATATAACATGATTTAGCTGTACGAGTTGCGCTAAAACTTGCTTATTAATAGATATTAAATAAAGTATCCCAAGAACTTTTTTCGGGTATATGTGTTTTTATCATAAGATAAAAGCAAAGAAATTTAGGTATCATGCCGAAATCGTTAAAAAAATTACCATATCTATAACTTTCCTGGCATCTAAAAGTTTCAAATAATAATTATTATTATTTCAAAATTTTGGATTACACAGAACCACATACAGTACAGTTATGATCCCAAGCTCTCAAAATAAGGATCCTGTGACATGAGAACCTTTGTCTTTGTATACGATACGGAGTATAATGAACTATCTCTAGCGCCTCGTGACAAGAAAGCAATTAATTCTGTAAAATTCTGCAACATGGCGATTACAATATTCCAGCTTTTTTAGCCTTTATTCGTGAAGTAACAGAGGTCGAAATTACATGTTATGATATTCCGGTAAGTGATAAAGCGTACTTAATTTTCACCAAATACTAACTTATGAACATGCTGCAAGCACACCGTATTATTTTGTACAGTCCAAGCTTCAAAGTCACTCGACCTTTACGTAACCAGACGAATATAATAATTATTAATAAACTCTAAATTCCGTAAAGTGGTACTGTAAAAAAAAAATTGTAACTGATTCAACGGTTTATTATGTTTAAAAAAAATGTATGTAACGGAATATATTAGAAAAAATTCTGTCTAAAATTTAAAGGTAAACTTTTAAATGCAGTTGCAAATTGTTTAAATAATTCGCATTATAAGGGAGAAACAATTTAGAAAGAAAATAGATAATCCAATCGTCAATTTCCGTAAAGCTCGAACATCTTCGAAGTTAGGAAATTACAAAATAGTGCTTGTGGTCTGTGGTCGCTTTACGGAGTACCGTAGTCTAAACTCTAGAGATATAGTGTTATCCGAAAATCTGTATAGAGTACACTATCTTAAAGATTAATAAACAGAAGACGTCTTCAACAAACTCCAAGTTTAAATCGAGGTGTGATTTTTACATCGAAAAATTAAAAATTGGATCCCTTTAATAACGAATTCTTATACAGTTTTCTTTCGGAACTTAATATAAATTCCAAAAAAATTAGAATTCCATTATTATCTCAGCACATAGCAGTATTATTTTAATATGGTATTGAATATAATATACACTCCAGTGAAGATAATATTATTGTTAAAATTGTTTGGTATTCATTATAATTACAGCTCAAAATGTGGGCTATTTAATAACGTTGTAAGGGCTCCGTCAAGAAAGACGCTTGTAGGAGAGTTGCAGTAGCGCGTCTGTAGCGCTTTAGTAAACCAGAATATAAATTAATTTAAATTATGCGCCAATTAATATAATATTTTCAATAGCAAAATTTAGCGTTAATTAATATTGTTCAAATTTAATGGAATTGAGTTGAATCTGTAATGCTTCCTTTCGAGCACATATTATAAAAATTACACAAAAAAAAACTGTTATACCAACCAATAGTCACAGTTATATTTATTTTTTCTACTACATACCAAAATTTAAAACTAAATGTTAATTTTCTGCTTTCAAATTTGCTTTATAGTGAAAAATCTTTAAAAGAATACATGTGTGCATAAATCTAATATGTAACCAAATTATAAAAAAGCGAGATATTTAAAGTATTAATAGAAAAAAGCAATTTAGATTAAGTACAGTCGATTACAAAAACTGTTGACAATGCATTTTGTAGACGTCTGTTCATGTGTAATAGAAAGAGTGTAGGGTAGAGCTAGACCCAAGTTTCATGATAAAAAAAGTATGAATTTTAAACAGCCAGTTAGGGTACGCGATTCACATATAAATTACTACTATATTTTTTTTTAATATGACAATGCACCACCACTGTCTTTAACTTTAATATCTCTGGGGTTTTAATTGAAATATCGAAAATCAGGTTTTAGATTTACTTTCAGTAATATCGACTGTGAACTGGCAACCGGTACTATCTCAATTTTGACAACTTTACAGGTAAAGAAAAATTCATGCGTCATTTATATAGCATCCGATTTATTAAATAAAAATAAGTCGTTTTTAAATATTTTTACTACACGTACACTACGTATTTTTATTTAATAAACCAGATGGTATATAAATGACGCATGAATTTTTCTTACAAAACAATTTTTTCTTGGCCTGTAAAGTCAATGTAAAGTTGTCAAAATTGAGATAGTACCGGTTGCCAGTTCACAGTCGATATTCACGTTTAGTCATTGAATCAATATTTTTTTAATACAGCGACATATCTCGTCAGCTCCTGTTAGCTGCAAAGCTTAGTGAATAACTTCATTAGTTTCTCACAGGTGCGATGACGGTGAAAAAGAGGAAACATTTAAAAAACCCAATACAAGATATAAACACATAAAGAAATTCGTAAGGCTTCTCGGTCTATAGCTTAGTCGATTAAAACTCTTATACTACCTCAAATGGCTTTGCTTGACTCAAAGCGTTGAATCAATCACTGAAAAAAATATATGGTAACATTAAGGATATACACTGATTACTATACGCTGTGAAAACACAATTTCTAAAAATTTTCACGATAGAAAAAAACACAAATTTTACAAGAAAACCGCTGTATATTGAATACAGCGGTTTTCTTGTTACTTTACATACACCAATTATTTTTTTATTTCAACTAAATAGAACACGTATACTGTACGCTTTATTTAATTTCGTTTGTAAAAAAATTAATTCTGAAATAAAGCCAGGCCCTGTCGCTCGACACAAGCAAAATGTACCGTATTTGTACGGGAAACATTTTAATTCGAGCTGAGGTAGTATCCACTCTTAATTAGTTGTATTTGCTTAGTATATTTGTGGTTCCTAGTACGAAAGCCAATTTTCTTTAATTACGATATTTTATTTTATATGTGATAACAATGTATGTTACACGATAACTCGCAAATCAATTTGTGAACCGATTTTGATGATTCTTTTTTTGGTCCCATTTAAATTTGAAGAAAATAATCCACCTCTAAGGGTGAATGACTTTTGAGGTCAGTTTTTTTAGTACTCTGTTCTGAGATTATCAAATTACATTTGTATAGCCGCTAGTTCGTGTGAGCATTGTTATCCAAACTTTTTTAGCATTCCTCTATTAAATGTGCTCTTTAAAATGTTTTCTTTGTGTGTCGATCTTTGTATCAGTAATAAAAAAATATATATTCAAAATACTGTATCAATGTGTCGCTTACCAAACAACTTCTACTTGTCAGTTAGTAGTTAGCCAGTTTTTAGATAAAAAACTGATTAGTAGATTTTCCAACACACATATGTTCCTTGTGGACTCGCTTACTTTGGTTGGCTGTACCTGCAAATTGGGTTTAATTTCTTACAATTTTAAAACGACACTTGTGGCATTCATTCGCGACTACTGTCATGTTTTGTTTTATTACGAATTTAAAAATGGTTCCATTCTTTTTTATTCATTGTTTCACAATGGCATGAATGACAAACACTAAAGCTGAACATACCTGTTATTTATTTGATTTGTACTTTTGTTTGTGTTTTGTTAATAACATTAGCAAAAGTGTAATTTGAAAATTGCGAGAAAACATTGATTTCCAATACGTAAATACGTAATTCCAGCACGTAAAGAACCAATTCAAAAGTTCATTCCCAAAATTGGTTCTACCGTGATGACCGAAACTTGGACACCGTGCTCATAGTAAAAAATGTGGTCCATCAAAAATTTATATTGAGAACTAGACAATTTTTCTTGAATTTTCAAAATATTATTTAGCTACAGTTGGTTCTTTTTCTAAGTGCTACCATTAGCTGAAATACGATCGTACCTTTTTACAACGTTTACAATTATTTAGTACACATGTACTCGATAACGCTTGGGCTACAGCGTAGAGTTAGTTTTTGTGTTAGATTTGTATTCTACATAAATATAGTCAATTGTATAATGTTATTGTAATAGCTGAATTAAAAAGACTTGTACGCTGTCTATTTACACTTAGGTCTTTCCTGAATATGCGTTATATATTTCGTATTCATTTGAAAAAAAATAACTACCTTGAGTATTGTTATTAACTAAATTTTATAGAACGTATAAACCGTTCTAAATCTGGTGATGTAAAATACAAATTTTAATTGCATATTCTTCTCCATATTTTACATATTGACAAAGATGGTAGTCTCGCCCACCACTGCCCGCAGCTTTGACAATGTCGTCCACCATCTCGCTACAGGACGTCTCACGTTTCCATATCATTTCTTGGCCACCATTCGGTTATCGCCTTACTCCAAAAAAATATATATTATTTTCTTTTTATTATTTCA